GATAATAACTTTATTCTAGAGCTGCTGTGAAGCCAAAACTGTCTGTATTACTTTAATTTCCTATTATCACTGTAACGCGGCAGTCTATAATGTTAGAAGCCCTGTATAAACAAAGGTCACATGACTAATTCGTTCTCTCTGTAGGTTGAAGACGAGTCTCAGGAGTTGACGGACGGCACGTTGATCGACCTGTGCGGCGCGACGCTCCTGTGGCGTTCGGCTGAAGGCCTGTCCCGCACGCCGACGCTCAAACACCTGGAGGAGCTCCGGCGGGAGCTGAACGCGGCTCGGCCTCAGTGTCCCGTGGGCCTGCGCACGCTCGCCTTCCCCAGCTCCGATCGCTCCTTCATCGGCCCGGCCCGCGACGACCAGCCCTGGGCCTACCTGCACTGCGGACACGTGCACGGGTACCACGCCTGGAGGGGGCGCCGGCGGGTCCCGAACGAGGGCTCGACCGAGGAGGAGGACGACGAGTCTGAGGCGAGAGAGGAGGCGGAGCGGGAGCCGCCGCGGGCGGGCGAGAGAGAGTGTCCGCTGTGCCGAACGCGAGGTCTGTACGTGCCGCTCAAACTGGGCCGCGAGTCGGGCTTCTACCTGGACGGGGCGCCCCCGACGCACGCCTTGAACCCCTGCGGACACGTGTGTTCAGAGCGGACCGCGGCCTTCTGGAGCAAACTGATGGTGCCGCACGGGGCGCACGGCTTTTACCCCGCGTGTCCGTTCTGCATGAGGCCTCTCGCGCGCGAGGGCAAGGTCGCGAGACTCATCTTTCAGGGGCCGCTGGACTGAGTGCACCTGTGTGTGTGTGTGTTTTTAAGACTCGTACGTGCCAAACACTCAAAGTCATCTGTTCTCTGCACTGCCAGTAGTTTTCAGTTAAAAAGTGTTGTCAAAAGTACCGACTTCGGTATCAAATCGGTACTGAAATTTTAAAAATGTGACGTTGGAAGCGTAAACGCCTCTGATTGGCCCATTGTGTTCACGCGCTCATCGGATATGTCTGTGATTGGCTGCGATGATCAGCGCTTCAAAAACGCTCTTCTCCTATGGCTGACACGGATACACACGGGAGCGTTTGAAAGCAGGACCGCTCCGCTGATTGTGCGCTGATCATCGTAGCCAATCACAGACGTATCCGATGAACGCGTGAACACAATGGCCAATCAGAGGCGTATACGATTACACTCGTATATGATTACACTGTCTGTCTGTCTGTCTGTCTAAATATGTGTCTGTCTATCTGTGTGTATGTCTATCTATCTATCTATCTATCTATCTATCTATCTATCTATCTATCTGTCTATCTATCTATCTGTCTATGTGTCTGTCTGTCTGTCTATCTATCTATCGATCTATCTGTCTATGTGTCTGTCTGTCTGTCTATCTGTCTATCTATCTATCTATCTATCTATCTATCTATCTATCTATCTATCTATCTATCTATCTATCTATCTATCTATCTATCTATCTATCTATCTATCTATCTATCTATCTATCTATCTATCTATGTGTCTATCTATCTATCTATCTATCTATCTATCTATATATTTATCTCTCTATCTATCTATGTGTCTGTCTGTCTATCTATCTATCTATCTATTTATCTATCTATCTATATATTTATCTATCTATCTATCTATCTATTTGTCTGTCTGTCTATCTTATACAGACATATCCGATGAACGCGTGAACATAATGGCCAATCAGAGGCGTATACGATTACACTCAACGCATCACATTTTTATTATTTCAGTACTAGTATAGCATTAGTAGTGCTTGAGCTGTTCTGCCAAAACTAGCATTAAAGTCAGCATGAAATCAAAATAAACCATTCTTATTTCGGTAACACTGTACAATAAGGTTCATTTGCTAATATATTAACGAACATGATCTAACCATGAACAAAACATGTGTTACTGTTTTGGTTAATCTTTGTTAAAAAAATCGAGCTGTTCATTGTTTGTTCATGTTAGTTCACAGTCCATTAACTAAAGTTCACAAGATTTTAATGGAGCTGAAATTAACATTAACAAAGATTAATAAATGCTTTATAAGTGGTGATCATTATTAGATCATGCTAATTAATGTAGTTAACTAATGAACCTTATTGTAAAGTGTTACCCTTATCTCTTATCTTGCGATATTTATTATTAATTAATAATTAATTAAATTAAAAAAATTGAATTAATTTTTGCACATTTTTTTCCTCTGATGATGTGTTTACTGCCATGAGGGCGGGGCAACCTGTCAATCACATCAGATCCACCAATAGCAAGGAAGGAAGAAAAGAAAAGACTTGAACTCTTGTTTCCTGCTGACTTTAATGTTCCTTACAAGAGGAGCGGTTATGAATCTGAATGTTATGAATACACTTTAGTGGGTGTGTAAACCTGTTTTCTGAAATGTTCTGAATTGCTTTCCTTTCATTTGTGCTTGCTGTTAAAAATGTCATCGCCTTGAAAAATGCCAATGACTTTCATCGACGGCGGGTTTGAAATGAGGTTATTATATTATGTTATAATGTATATATATTAAACCTGTTGTTGTTGTTGTTGCATTTTCTCAGAAATGTTTTTGTATCATTCTTGAAGAATAAAGGTAATAGCTCATATTTCAATAAAACCCAGAGCACTTTTCCACTTTCCAAAATTATAAGATGTCCAGACAAGAAATAATAGAGAAAGAAAGCTGAATAAAGGAACAAACACAAAGAATAATAATGAATGAATGACAGAATAAAACAATGAAAAAAGAGCAAAGAAATTTATGAAAAGAAATTATAAATTATAAAAATATATATTTTACACCAAAGAACACAACATTTACAAGCAAAAAGACAATAAACAGGATATTATATAAAATAAAATTATACTACACGAGGGTTACAACGCATGAAATTCCTACCATTCAAGATTTTTATAAGCAATTTTGCTTTTAAAAGAATTAAATTATCAGTATAAAGTCATAAATAAATCAATCTTTGTTGAAAAAAATGTTGTTTTTTAAATGTAACGTTTTGCAAGTAATTGTAAAAAATAACTATAAACGTCAAAGCAAAAGACTTTAACTCTAAAATCACACATTTATGGCAAAAGTTTGGGGATAAACTCCTTTTACAGAAGTAATGAATGATTGTATGATTCGTGTACGCGTTGACAAAACGACTTGTAAACCGGAAGTGTCTGCGGCGTTGCGCGCGCAGTGCATCATGGGCCGGTGACCGGCGGACCGCTGAGTTGTGTGATATGAGCCTCACATCTGTGAGGATGTTACCGGGATCTGATGATATTATGATCGCCAGGAGCTGCTTTATTTCATATAACAGGTACTCGCACCGCACACACACACACGGCAGTGTTTATGAGTGAGTGTGTGGGGCTTCAATGGCGCCGGAGCGGGTGTTTATAATGATTAGCGCTCAGGCTAGCAGCGGGTCATTACGTGTAACGTTAACACACAATAACAACTTACAAAAATACTGTATTTACTGTAAAAAGCAGTAAAAATTACGCACATATTCCCTTAAAATGCTGATTTATTCATACGTGTGTCAGTTAAATTGATATAAGCGCTTATGTGATTTGTTTTGCTCCTCACACGGGTAATTTCATCAGGTATTATTAATGATAATTATGTTTTAATGATAATTAATATTGTAATATGCATACGTTGTGTCTCAACTTGACGTTAAATCGAAGATAATAAACTGTTGAGCCGTCAGTCATACGTTTCTAGGTCAATACACATCTATAATTTCTCATAATAATATAATAAATGTGTGTAACGTTAGTTATTGAAATATAGGCTGTTGAAATGTAGCTTCATTGTGAGTTAATGATTGATCTGTCTGATGTGATTTGATCAAATTACAGGTGCTGATCTTATTCGTTAATAAAAATTTTTTTCAATATGTCATGCACTTTAAAATACGTGTATATTGTATTTTAATTACCTTGGCTTTCCCTTAAAAAGTAAAGTAAGGGAGTACTTTTTCCTCAAATAAAGTTACAGTTACTTCTGATAGAACTGCATAGACCAATATAGATATATAATAATAGCAATACAATATAATATACTATAACAATATAGAACAACTCTATATAAAACAATAGTGGACGTAACACTAAAACGTAATGTTAAATGTATGTTTAAATGACCACTTTGGTCATTTCAAGAATAATTTATTCAATTATATATTGTTTATTTGAAAGAATTAAAAGTGCAGTTTCATGTCTATCCTTGTATCGTTCAACTGGTCGCGGTTTAAATAGGATTGAGAAAGTAATTAATAATAAGTGATGCCATACTTTGTTGAGAGAGTAATTAGTACAGTTGTCTAAACTGTATTAGCTAGTAATTTATTTTTTAGAGTAACTTACCCAACACTGATCGTATGGGATAACTCCCTTTTCGTTTAAATTGAAACGTTAAAATGTGTTTTCTTTGAAGCTGATTTGAAATATGTATTGTGAAATGTTCAATAAATAAGTCAAATGTGACAATTTATGCATGCAAACATGTACGGCAAAACGTTGGAGCAAATTGTGCTCCGTTCTCATAAAAAATATTTTTCTTTACATATAGTAGGCCTGTAGTTTTGTATTATTTTTGATTTAGCATTAATCTGCTGAACATATCCATGCAACAGTTAACTCAAAAATTAATATAATATACTAGTTGCATATTATGAAACTATCTAAGAAATATGACCAGTCAAATTTATTTATTTAGCTTTTTTTGGGGAGGGTTTCTCTTACCACTAATGAGGATTTAGAAACAAACGTTGCTCTTTCTTAATGGTTTTTCTTTACATAAAGTGTAGTTTTGTATTGAGTCGAATATGTCTGCAATAAGTGACTGGTTTTGGGTGAAGTTGTGCTGAGTGTGTGTGGAGTTTGCTGAAGTCAAACCGCAGCACTTTCGCTTCTCGCTCTGATGACTAGACAGCCGGCTGGTGTGTGTCGTGCTTCTCATCGGCTGTTGTGCAGATCTCATCCTCTCTAGCACACACACACTCGGCCTGCCGTTCCCTCTCTCTCCGCTCACTCGGGCGTGAGATGCGCCCCAACATCAGATTAAACATGCAGCCATGAGTAAAAATGAAATAGGTGGCTGCACACACAGCTGCAGGATGTGTGTGAAGTCAGTTTCCTCTTTGTGTTTTTCACTCTTACTCACTTATTTTTATACACAGTGTGTTTTTTTTTAAGCACTAGTTCATTTTAGAGCCAAACCGATAAAGGATTTCGAAGGCCGATACCGATGCAAATATTTGTTGGTTTTAAAATCCGATATATCGGCCGATATTATTATTATTATTATTTCAGAAACGCACAACAAAATATTGACAGATTTCCCTAACATTAGTTATTTGTAGTTATTTATGAGTTTTAACTAAAATAATATGATAATGCATTTTAAAAAGAAACTTGTTTCTATTGTCTCAACAGGACAGAGGAACATCAAAATATGTTAAAGTTCTGATAAATAAAATAATAATTAGTCCCTACATTGCCTTATAGTTATAAGCTACCTTATAATTACAATGTCAGCTTGCTATCCTTTTACCTGGACTTTTTGACAACACTCATGACATGGTTGAAGCGTGATTCGTCCGTTTTTATTTTATTTTTGAAATATTCATTTATCGGCCATTATAACTGCCGATATATCGGTCTGGCTCTAGTTCATTTAAAGGGATAGTTCACCCAAAAGCCCATGATTTACTAAAGTCATCTTAGATGTATATGATACTCTTCGCACAGATGAATATAATTGTAGTTATAATATAGACCATTTCACAAGATGTAAACAACACTGGTCCCGAAGCAATTCCTGTTTCAGTTTTTTAACACTACATAAAAGCTGGGATAAAATACAGCCAACAGAAAATATAAAACTGAATCAAAAAGCTAAACAAACATCTTTAAGATGTTTTCTTTACATGTGAAATAAAGGAAACAGTTACAAACTGAAACAGGAAGTGTTTCTGGACCAGTGTTGTCTATATTTAACAATGCCCTGGCTCTTTCAAGCTTCATAATTTCTGTTTTGAAGTTCATAAAAGTAGAAAGCTAAAACCTAGAATGACTTTAGTAAATCATGGGTGAACTGTCCCTTTAAAAGATCTTTTATGGAGTTGTATCTAATATTTTTATATCTAAGATCTAAGAATTTTTATATTATATTGTTGAAAGTTGAATCTCGGTCTGCCTTGTTATAGACCGTTGAGCTGATTTGGCTTTATATTTGAATACAATGAATCTGAATGGTTATTTGTGTTTCTCAAGCACTTTAACCAATCAGACGTGGGTTTCCCCTGAAGGCCGGCTGTTTCCTGTGCCGTGACAGGATGCTGATGCTGTTCTCTTGTTCTTCTTTCAGTCTGCCTCTTATGTGAGGGATCCGCAGTGATGTCCTCCAATCCGATACCTCAGTCCAGCGGGGGAGGAGGGAGAGGCGCCGGCCCCAGCGACGGGCTCTTCCGGAAGCCCCGGGACCCTTCGATGGCCCCCAGACACTACCGAACCCCGCGCTCCCTCCCGGACGTCTGCCCCAAGGAGCCCACCGGTGAGACCCGGGAACGCCAGCTTACATGATAAAAATGGGTGTTTATGAAATTTGGGGCTTTTGTAGACTGCCTCCATCCTGACATGAGGATTTTGATAGTGCTTGTGCTATGTTCACTGTTATCGTCAGTACTTTATTATCTTTGTAAACTACAGGTGCCGTTGAATGCTCGATTCTAATGGGTTGACGAACGTTTTAAGGTGTGCAAGTATTTTCAGGGAAACGCACAGCACGGCTAAAGTAGTTCCAGGTCTTGATCAAATTATAGTTTCACATAATCACCAAATGATTTTAGTTATTTCCAAGGTCTGACAACAGCAAAAGAAACAAAACCCACAACGACACTGATATATTAAGCAAAGCATAAAAATGACAGATTATTACCAGGTTTTTTTTACTCAAAGTTGTGTTTTATAATGTACGGAAAGCACATCTTTCTCCCTCTCAAACTCATACAAGTACAGTACGGACACACACTCTATAAGACCTCAATCGTCTAAAGGTTCCCTTCATCTCAGTGGAATAAGTTTTTTTGACTTTCCATACATTATCTATCTATACACGCACAAAAAACTGGGCTTGATATGGTTGTTCTGAAGGTATGTAAAAAAATGTTTACACTTCTGGCCTTCGGGGTCAATACGACCACATTGAAATGAATGGGAAATGTTAAAAAAAAACGAAATATATTTTGTTCATGTGTGAAAAAAAAAAAAAATCCGGCATAAATCTGAAAATTTTTACACAGAAATGAAGGCCTATTAATAGAGCATAAATGCAATGTATCATAAAAAAATAATGCTAATGCTAAAGCTAATGGTGTAGTTGAGGAATTGTGTGGTATATGGATACAAAAATAATTTCTATCTCCAAAAACACTGCATTAATGATTCTGAATAGATGAGAAGTAAACAAAAAAAAAAAGATATTATTTGTTTGATTAAAAATGTATATTTTTTGTACAATTAATTACTCAATCAATTGTAAACAGGAAACGAAGACCATTTGAAGGTTAAACGTTACATTAGATAAATTTCTCTCTAGCTACTCTAGATAATAACGGCGCTGTTCTTGAAGCAGATTAACTTAAAGTTTCGCTATTAGTAGAGACGCTGCTCAGGTAATTCACACACGCTTAATCTCTCTCTCTCTCTAACTGCATTAGACTGCTATCAGTGGCTGAAGTGTCCACTACGAGCTCTAAAATTATGTTTTAGTATTCGCAACGAAGGCTTGGGATGAGATTAGCCCTACACTCAAGAGCGTTTCAAGAACAAAAACCTGACAAATGTCTTGAAATGCAACACCTAAACAACGTCTTGAGGTGTGGAAACCGTAATATAAGCGGAATAGTTGAATTCCTTTGAATTACTGTATGAAGAAACCATTTTCACTCAGAAATTGATTGTAAATTTCCCAGAGAAATGGCAAGTAACAATGAGATTTTTTTTCCAGTGATGCCATAGAATGTTTCCAGAAGAGCCTTTCTCTGAACAGTTCTAAAAAAGAACCAATTTTTCTTGATTTGAATCATGTGATGTTCTAAAGAACCTTTTGTGGAATGCAAAGATTCCGTGTTCTTCATGAAACTGCCGCTAAAGAGCCGTTATTTGGTGTAAGTGTAATATGAAGTGGTCCTGTGTGCAGGCGAAGGCCGTGGGCTCTGTGACGGGCCGTCTGTAGTGGCCGACCAGCACCGCTGGACCGTGTATAACTCTAAAGTGAACCTCCCCGCGGCCCTGAACGACCCCAGGCTGACCAAGAGAGAGTCCGACTTCTTCACCAAGACGTGGGGCCTGGACTTCACCGAGACCGAGGTCATGCCTTCCTTCTACTTGCCCAACATCACCCGAGAACACTTCAGCTCCTACCTGCAGGAGACGGCTCAGGTGACGCATCTCAATTATTCAGAGGGAGAGAGAGAGAGACGAAATGACTATACTCAGAAATATTCTGACCTTGTCTGAATGTAGGTTCAAATCTTATTTCTCGTTATTTCTTGTTTCTATAAATGTATTTGTTTACTGATTGATTTATTGGCTTTATTGATTATTTGTTCTTTGCTTATGTAATGGCCAATACTCATGTCAATAAAGCTCAATTGTATTGAGAGAGAGAGAGAGAGAGAGAAGGAAAAGGAAAAAACATAACTGCCCCATCATGTGACTGTCAGCTAATGCTCGAATACGTGCTTTTATTGTTAAAGTCCCCTGGAGTCAATCACTGTGTCCCATCTTTGATCACTAAAATGAGATGTTTAAAAGTTTTTTCCTTGAAAAAAAAAATTCTTCTTGCCTTAAAATAGCTTGAATGTAACTCTATGTGGATGTCGACTCATGAGTTTGAACATGGTTTGTCTTAAAGCATATTAAAAACACATAAACTACTTTAAAAGCTGGATTTTCACCACAGGAGGACTTTAAAAATTAAGCTTGAAATTAAGCAAAAATATAACAAACGACTATTAGATGACGAGAAAATGCCTGAACGGTTGTCTAGTTTAGGACTGGAGGTGTGTGTGTCGTTGTGTATTAATTAACTCGCGGTGTATTAATAGACTTTGAGGCTCTTAAAGGGTTAGTTCACCCAAAAATGAAAATTAAGTCATTAATTACTCACCCCCATGCTGTACCAACCCCGTAAGACCTTCGTTCGTCTTCGGAACACAAATGAAGATATTTTTGATTAAATTTGAGAGCTGTATAACTACCACATTGGCTCCTAAAGGACTGCCTCTTGACGGCCCAGAAAGTCAATGAAGAAAATGTTTAAATATCCCAAGTGACTACCGTGGCTCAACTATATGTTTATCAAGCGACGCGAATACTTTTTGTGCGAAAAAACAAACAAAAATAACGAGTTTATTCGACTATTTCTTTTCTTCCTTGTAGGCCAGAACGAGACTTCCTTAGATTTCCACGACGCATGCGCGAGATTTGCGATCTGAAGTAGTGTAAGCTGGTGTGATCTCGTTTCTGGCCTACAAGGAAGAAAAGGAATAGTCGAATAAACTCGTTATTTTTGTTTGTTTTTTCGCACAAAAAGTATTCGCGTCGCTTGATAAACATATAGTTGAGCCACGGTAGTCACTTGGGATATTTAAACATTTTCTTCATTGACTTTCTGGGCCGTCAAGAGGCAGTCCCTTAGGAGCCAATGTGGTAGTTATACAGCTCTCAAATTTAATCAAAAATATCTTCATTTGTGTTCCGAAGACGAACGAAGGTCTTACGGGGTTGGTACAGCATGGGGGTGAGTAATTAATGACTTAATTTTCATTTTTGGGTGAACTAACCCTTTAAAGCAGATAAATGTGTCTTCAGTGTGTGTTTTCTGTCATGGGCTCCAGGCGATGGCAGCTTGTTTTTCTCTGTGGTTTTCCGTCTTGTTTTCCACCGCATTTCCTTCCGAGGAACGCCGTCTGTTTTTATCCGTCAGCCGGGTCGTGGTCGAGAACGCCAGATCTGTTTGGGAAGGTAGAGCAGGTTTCTCACGGTGTGTTTGTGTCTCTCAGAGGGAGAAGATTCACGAGCGCTGCAAGAACGTCTGCCAGAGCAAAGACGACCTGGCGGTGCCCACCATCACCAATAATCACGGTACGCTTCACTCGAAATGAAAATGTCCTGATCGTTTACTCACCCCAAAGCCATCCAAGATGTTCATGTCTTTCTTTCTTCAGTGGAAAAGAAAGTTTTTTGAGGAAAACTTTTCAGGATTTTTCTCCACACAATGAAAGGTGGGAAAGGTCAGGAAGGACGTAGGCGGAAGTACCGCCCCATTGTTTAGTTTTAGTTCCTTTATTGTCCACAAGTGGAAATTTGTCTTTGGCTTCACTATACATCACACACAAGGACACCAACACAAAAACATAAGAAAAAAAAAAAAATACATAAATTAAAAACAGTAACATTACCATGCAGCTATACTTAAGCTTACATGTATCCACCCCTACTCGTATTTATGTCTTCCCAGCATTTAAAAATCGAATGGCAGTTGGCACAAATGATGTCTGGTACACATTTTTACTTGCCCTAGGTTGTCTAAACCTTCTCCTTGATGGAAGCAACTGAAAACTAGAGTGTAAGGGGTGAGATAAATCCTCAATAATGACCCTTGCCTTCTCTTTAACTTTCAATTAATATATCTCATTCAATTGTCTTTGTGTTTTATCTACGATTGCGCTAGCTATGTTAACCACCCCAGACAATTTCTGCTTGGATTTAACAGTCAGGACTCCATACCACATAGTCATATTAAAAGACATAATGCTTTCTACGAAATTCTTATAAAATATTTTTACTCACACCAGTGTTTTAGCCTCCGAAGAAGATGCAATCTCTGCATTGCTTTTTTAAATGCATAATCCACATTTCCAGCAAAACTCAAGTTACTATCTATGAATGTTCCCAGGTATTTGAAACTATTTACTATTTCTACCTGGTATCCACTGAGTTTCACGGGTTGTTCAGAAAGTTCACTTTTGTTTCTAATAATCACTAGTTCCTTAGTTTTGTGCAAATTTATCTCAAGTGCGCTCAGTTTGCACCATTTTTGTATGGAATTGTTTACAAGCGTGGAGACGGAGGATCTAAAAGTTGACAAAAAATGCAATGACTTTGTCTACTAAAACTAGATTAAAACTATGAATGACAAAATTACTGACTAAAATGTGACTAAGACCAATAAGAATTTTCATCTGAAGACTAAAACAAAAATGGCTGCCAAAATTATTAAATTGTCGTGCTGATTATTTTCCTTTTTTTTTGTCGTGGTAAAGTCTTAAATTAGCCTTTTAGATGACTTAAAAAGGTCTTAAAAGTCATTAAATTTGCTGTTAAAAAATGTGCAGATACCCTGTTTATTATATGTTGAATGGCATTTAGGTCTTTGTGTCAGTTGGCCGCCTACGTCCAGCGTGACCTTTCCCACGTGATGATGTAATGGCTGGCGCATCGCAGACCAAAATAAGACGAACAACTGTGGTTAAAAAGTATATACATTGTTATTTATTTTTAGAAAACGACTGACGGTTTTGCTTGATAAGGCCGTGTTCCTCAGCTGGGAGCGTGCATGATGCCATTGATTTGGACTTTAACATGTGCTCGAAGTTCATTGTGTGGAGAAAAATTTGCTTTGAAACTGAATCCGTGTTGTAAATAAAGGAGTCGTGCCAAACACACACTGTATTGGAGCTGATGTTTTCATGTGTGTGTTTGTGTTGCAGATAAAGCCAGAGCTGAGCTGGATCAGGTGCCCAAGGTGAGGACTGAAGACTTGATCACGGTTTCCACACACATGATATGATCATAATCATGAATGTGTCTTGAGCATCAAATCCTCATATTATTCATGATTTCTGAAGGGTCATGTGACACTGAAGACTGGAGTAATTCAGCTTTGATCACAGGAATAAATTACACTGTACTATATATTCACATGTTTTAAATTGTAATAATATTTCACAGTTACTCCAGTATTGTGACATCCACAATGAGATTTTACCTTGTCCTTTATTTTATTGTCTTAAATCCAAGTTTAAAATGTTGTTGTTCATCTTTTCTGGGAGAAGTTTTTTTTTTTTTTTTTAAATGACCTTTCCCCATCCGAGGATTTAAAAAGGCAAGAGTTTCCTTGCCGGTTAATTTCATCTCTCTCTCTCGCTCTCTCTCGCCCAGATCTTCATGAAGCCCGAGTTTGTCCTGAACGATCCGGCCACCTTTAATGCCGTGTTGCCGTGGTCTCACTTCAGCGTCGCCGGGGGCAAGAACAGCCGAGATGTGGCGTCGTCACGGTTACTGCAGGAAAAGGTGCCTGTCTGTCATTATCAGCAAAACAAATCAGCATTAGATAATACTATAGTTTTGTAAATATTTTCATTTAGTTTTTTATTTTCCATTTTAATTTGAGTAATTTTGTTGTGTCCTGATGTTTTCGTTTGTATTAGTTATTATATTTTTTTATTTAATTTAATTTTCTTTCTATAAATATGTCCATATATATTTTTAGCTTTAAAAATATCTTATTTCAGTTACCATTTATTTTGATTAAAAATGTTTTTTATAATGGTTTTAGTCCTAGTACGCTGCTACCAATAAATATATACATACATTTCTCCGTACCCTTTTTTTTAACCACATCTAAAGCCAAAATACTAATTTACATTAAGTATATATTTATTTTAAAATCATAAAAATCATAAATATTTATTTTAAGTTTTTTTTTGTTGCTTTAGTTAATATTAATTAAGCCAAAATACTAATTTACATTAAGTATATATTTATTTTAAAATCATAAAAATCATAAATATTTATTTTAAGTTTTTTTTTGCTTTAGTTAATATTAATTAAGCCAAAATAATAATTTACATTAAGTATATATTTATTTTAAAATCATAAAAATCATAAATATTTATTTTAAGTTTTTTTTGCTTTAGTTAATATTAATTAAGCCAAAATACTAATTTACATTAAGTATATATTTATTTTAAAATCATAAAAATCATAAATATTTATTTAAAGTTTTTTTTGCTTTAGTTAATATTAATTAAACATAACTTTCATTAAATAACTTAATATTTAATGCTCATTTACATTCATTTTAAATGTCAAATTTTAATATAAATATTTCTTATATAAATATTAACAATTTGGGGATTGCTTAATTAAGTAAATATTTCTTCTATTTTTTCCAACCAAACCTGAACGTTTAAGACTAGTAAACAGTAAAATAATTAAATAAACACCATAGACAATTAAGTAAATAAAAACAAAAGAGAGCAAATATAGATATGAAGTAAGGCCCAGTGTCACAGACAAGGTTTAGATTAAACCAGGATTAGGCCTTATAGTTCAGTTAAGCAGCTTTTATAAACATGCCTTAGACAAAACATTGCAGTTGTGCATCTTAAGACAAGCTTTAAGATCTCTCAGTGCAAGTTGCTTTCAGTTAAAACAGCTCTGGGTCTATCTTAAGCGTTGTCTGTGAACCGGGGGATTAATGCGCTGACTGTGTGTGTGTGTGTGCAGTTGAGTCACTATCTGGACGTGGTGGAGGTGAGCATCGCTCGGCAGATCTCTCTTCGCTCCGAGGCCTTTTTCCACGCCATGTCGTCTCAGCACGAGCTCCAGGACCGGCTGCGAGAGACGGCCGACTCCGTGGCTAAGCTCCGCGCTCGCACCTCCGCCATCGACCGCGTGATGTGCCGCGGGCCGCTGCGAGCGCTGCGGGACGCTCTCACACGCAACAACTGCGCCAAACTGCACAATAAGCTGAAGCTGATGGCCGCGGTGCACCAGACGCAGCCCACGGTGCAGTTACTCCTCTCCACCTCAGAGTTCGTCGGCGCGCTCGAGCTCATCGCAACCACCAAGGAAGTTCTGCAGCAGGAACTGCAGGGAATACACAGCTTCAGGTGCGCACACACACACACGTTTACTAGGAAACATGCGGACAAGAAACAGCAGAGAGATCAGGATGTTTATAAGTCGCTTATTCAACATTGCTCACATTATCACAGTTTATTCGCTAGAAAATGGTAATAAAATATGAGCAGAATTTAGAGTTCTCAGATCAGTGGATGTTTCTCAGGTTTTGTCCGTCCTTCTGTCCGACTCTCACACATGATCATGTTGAATATCTGTCAGCTGTTGAATTGAACTACCCTATTAGATAATACCAGTTCAGCTCAAACACTGACCAGGCAATGCGAATGTAGCAATTAGCAAAACACGGTCAGCTCAAAGTGTCTGAATCATTTTAGGTCAATCTGTTGTGGGAAGTTCATCTAAAAGTTGATATCGGGAGATATTTATTTACCAAATAAATAATTTACCAAATAAAATAAAAATAAAACAAGGTGATATAGGTATATAACAAGGTATATAACTATATAAATAACTATATCGTGAAATATATCGTTACCGTGAAATAAAATTAGTCATATCGTGAAACACAATTTTGGTCATATCGCCCACCCTGTTACTGGTAGTCACTGTGTGAATCATTTTTGGGTATATAATGTCACAGTTTAGTTTATTTTGCTGTCCTCACTCACAGAAATGTACTATAGACCATTTCACAGGGGGATCGCACTTCCTGTTTCAGTTTTTTAACACTACATAAAAGCTGGGATAAAATACAACCAACAGAACATTTAAAACTGAATCAAAAAGTTAAACAAACATCTTTAAGATGTTTTCTTTACATGTGAAATAAAGAAAACAGTTACAAACTGAAACAGGAAGTGTTTCTGGACCAGTGTTGTTTACATCTTGTGAAATGGTCTATAGTGTCCTGCACACACTAGTAAAAGCATATCAAGTATCAAATATTCTTGGTTTGAGCGTATGTCCTGTTATTTGTGTCTCTTTCCGCAGGCATTTGGGTTCTCAGCTCTGCGAGATGGAGCGGTTGATCGATAAGATGATGGTGGCTGATTTCTCCACATACGCTCAAAGCGACCTCAATCGACCCTTTGAAGAGGACATTCAGGTCATGGAGAAGGTCAGACCTTCCTCATTTCATGAGGAATCAAATGTTGCTTTATTTCCTGAAATAACTGTGCTATGGCAACTTACCTTATCTCCCAAAGCACAAAACTTCCTCTTGAGTTAAAAAACAACATTTATCGAAACTAAACTGCAGCTTCAAACTGTTCATCTTCTGTTTAAGTATTCAGGCTGCATTAATTTGCAAAAACAGTAATATTGTCAAATAATATTGCAATTTATTTAGGATCTATGATGAATTGAAGTGTTTTTATACAATCTTTTGTGAAATTATATCTTAACTGGCACTTTTGATTAATTTAAAGCATTCTCGCTGAATATAAGTATTAACTTAAAAATGTTACTGACCTCAAACTTTTGAACAGTAGTGTATTAAATAGAATAGGGATTCTTTCAGTCTTTTTGTCATAAGCAAACCCAGGCATGTTGGGATTGGTGCTGAAGTGTTTCACAAATTATGTCATTTCAAATGCGAAACTGAACTCTCCAGTAAATGTCATTGTTGTGGCGCCGTCACTTTCCCACAAGCTGACCACAGCGGCGGTTTCCAGTTTCCAGGTGTGAAACAAGGGCAGCCCAGTAAACCAGGTCACATGACAGCTCATGCTTGTGTTGGATGTGGGTCAAGGTTGGTTTGAGGTTTACAGTGTGGGATTTCTCACACAGGTCACAGAGCAGCCGGCAGCGTCAGGAAAGGTTGGTTATGTCGCTCTAAATCCCACGCCGACGAGTCAACCAAACCGCTGATTGCATTTGATTTCAATAATGAAAGAACGAAAGCAGAGATGATGACGTCTGATTTATTTTAATTGGAAATCAAATCATTTTTAATTGAAAATCTCAGCAGCATGTATGATCAGGGGTGTTTTGATTGGCTTGTGTTGTGGTTCCACATCTGAGTTTGTGTGTTTATTGCAGGATCGTTTGCAGTCTCTGGTCTTTGGCCTGTTGAGACAGAGGAAGCTCGATTTCCTGGACATTTACAGTGACGAGATGGTCCGTGCTGCCAAGAACGTCGTACGGCAGGTGAGGTCTACACTACAGACTGGGTCTGAACAATCAGAGCAGAGTAGACCAATCACAACAGACTGGGTCATCTGACCAATCAGAGCAGAGTTGACCAATCACAACAGACTGGGCCATCTGACCAATCAGAGCAGAGTTGACCAATCACAACAGACTGGACCATCTGACCAATCAGAGCAGAGTAGACCAATTACAACAGACTGGGCCATCTGACCAATCAGAGCAGAGTTGACCAATCACAACAGACTGGGCCATCTGACCAATCAGAGCAGAGTTGACCAATCACAACAGACTGGGCCATCTGACCAATCAGAGCAGAGTAGACCAATCACAACAGACTGAGTCATCTGACCAATCAGAGCAGAGTTGACCAATCATAACAGACTGGGCCATCTGACCAATCAGAGCAGAGTTGACCAATCACAACAGACTGGGCCATCTGACCAATCAGAGCAGAGTAGACCAATCACAACAGACTGGGTCTGACCAATCAGAGCAGAGTAGACCAATCACAACAGACTGGGCCATCTGACCAATCAGAGCAGAGTTGACCAATCACAACAGACTGGACCATCTGACCAATCAGAGCAGAGTTGACCAATCACAACAGACTGGGCCATCTGACCAATCAGAGCAGAGTTGACCAATCACAACAAACTGGGCCATCTGACCAATCAGAGCAGAGTTGACCAATCACAACAGACTGGACCATCTGACCAATCAGAGCAGAGTTGACCAATCACAACAGACTGGGCCATCTGACCAATCAGAGCAGAGTTGACCAATCACAACAGACTGGACCATCTGACAAATCAGAGCAGAGTTGACCAATCACAACAGACTGGGCCATCTGACCAATCAGAGCAGAGTTGACCAATCACAACAGACTGGGCCATCTGACCAATCACAACAGACTGGGCCATCTGACCAATCAGAGCAGAGCTGACCAATCACAACAGACTGGACCATCTGACCAATCAGAGCAGAGTTGACCAATCACAACAGACTGGACCATCTGACCAATCAGAGCAGAGTTGACCAATCACAACAGACTGGGTCTGACCAATCAGAGCAGAGTAGACCAATCACAACAGACTGGACCATCTGACCAATCAGAGCAGAGTAGACCAATCACAACAGACTGGGCCATCTGACCAATCAGAGCAGAGTTGACCAATCACAACAGACTGGACCATCTGACCAATCAGAGCAGAGTTGACCAATCACAACAGACTGGGCCATCTGACCAATCAGAGCAGAGTTGACCAATCACAACAGACTGGACCATCTGACCAATCAGAGCAGAGTTGACCAATCACAACAGACTGGGCCATCTGACCAATCAGAGCAGAGTTGACCAATCACAACAGACTGGGCCATCTGACCAATCACAACAGACTGGGCCATCTGACCAATCAGAGCAGAGTTGACCAATCACAACAGACTGGACCATCTGACCAATCAGAGCAGAGTTGACCAATCACAACAGACTGGACCATCTGACCAATCAGAGCAGAGTTGACCAATCACAACAGACTGGGTCTGACCAATCAGAGCAGAGTAGACCAATCACAACAGACTGGACCATCTGACCAATCAGAGCAGAGTAGACCAATCACAACAGACTGTGATTGCATGTAAACCTGAATGAGTCCTCAGACTGGCATAATGGGGAACTTTAACAGAAAAGCGAATGTTTCTCTGAATGATTTCTGTCTTTTCCTGCAGTGTGTTGAGAAGTCTGTGTCGCAGATCAGTGAGATTGATGCAGACACCGTCAAGTGAGTTCACGTCCCCTCAGTATATCACATCACAGCACTGTTTACCACAGCTGACTGTGTGTGTGTGTGTGATGCAGATTTCATGAGCAGATGCGCTTGATGACATTTAATCAGTGGTTTGATCTGCTGCTGGATATATTTGAACACTTCATCCTGTTCATCAAGAGGATCAAGGTAAATCAGCTCAACACCTGACAGAACGTGTCGTCTGGACATGATCTCGCACACAACACATAATAATAATAATTCAGAATTTCATCAGAATTGAGTAGTTCCACTCCTCCTTTTGGCAGACGTCAACGAGGCCTTGCAGGATCAGTTCATGTTAAAAACAACACCAGTAATAATACATGTTAAAGGACTCCCACAATGCCCTTTTTATAAGATGTAAAATAAGTTGTGAAGTTTTAGCTCAAAATTAGCATAATCTGTCATGATAATGTTCCCAGAGGCGGGGTTTATGTAAATATTAGGGTTGGTGATGTCACTAACCCTGGAGGATGCTCGTGTAGTCCCTACCAGACGTTTGTTGTAGTGATTTCTTTAAAAGCCAATATCTTCTTTGCAGATGTGGTTTATGCTCTAACAGCAACATTACACACTAACTAAAAGCTAGAAAAGTGAAATCATGATCAACCAGCCCTTTAAAAAGCAGCGTTCCCTTTGAGATAAACATGTAGATGCTGGAGGCCGAACTTGAACTATACACCCTTAGAAGAAATGGTTCTATTTTGAACCAGAAATGGTTCCATCCCCCGCTTCATACATGGAACTCCAAAATGGTTCTATATAGAACCATTTTTTTTGGTAAAAGGTTCTATTGCCCAAGTATGGAACCCCAGGGTTCTATATAGAACCCAGAGTGTATAGAACCTTTTACCAAAAAAATGGTTCTATATAGTACCATTTTGGAGTTCCAAATACGTAGCGCTGATAGAACCTTTAAAGGTTCCATATAGAACCTTTTCTTCTAAGAGTGTAGCCTCCATTCCCCAGTCAAACACTGCACGCTCAGTAGCGCACTCGTCCTCTGCAGTGCAAACTCACGCGTATTTGTTTCAGGCTACGCTCGGCGTCATCCGTAACGTGGTGCTGGAGGTGCTGGACAGCAGCCAGAGGAGTCGGATAGCGGACGTCACCCCCGCGGCTGATCATTCCCAGGAGGACGAGGAGGAGTCGGGAGCTCATCACTCCGGGGAGGCGGAGCTCGCGTATCTCACTCACGAGGGGCTCTTCATCAGCGACGCGCTCAACGACGCGCAAGCGAGAGCACAGACGCGCACCGACACCTGCGGGAGCGACTCGGCCTCCGCCACCACAGAATCCTCCTCCAGCAGGGAGCACAACTACAACACTACTTCCTCCCTGCCCGCAGGGGGCGCTGCTGCTCTGTGAGTCACTCACTCGCTGCTCACACTGTCTGTCTCATTTACACCGCCAATACTTTAAGGAGAACTCCGGCGCAAAATGAACCTTTGGTCTAACAAATTGGTACCTGTCAACCGTTCTCTGAGATTTGTTTTCATGGTAATCGAATGTAAAGAGTTTTATCTCTAAAACTGTTTAGTGTATACACTAGTATATGGGGGCAGGTGCTCTTCGGTCATTTCGGAGCGAAAAATTTTCTGTTTTGAATTTCTAAAAATCACAGCTTCATCAGAATATTACGAAATTTAGTTACTTTTATGGCATTATGTATGTGAACACACAAAAATATTGAGGTCATGATCTGAGCACGCTAAGTGGTCTTATAAAAAATAGTCTTCGGTCAAAAATGACCCCCATAGTAAATGAATGGGAAATTGACAAAATTCACAAATTTTTTTTTTTTTTTTTTTTACATTTTTTTAATACAAAATCATTTTTGAGATTGTTTCAACTATATATTCAAATCCACACAAAAAAATGTGTTCATAAACATCTGGGGAATTCACATGCCTCTCCATAGAGAGCTGTACATGCCATCTAGTGGTTACACCATGATTCTACGCTTTTTCACTATACTGTAACCAGATGGTGCTAATTTTCTTCAAAAAATATTTTTTTTCTGAAGGCCTAGACTCTATATTAAACTAAAATACTGCATTAATATTTTACAAAAAAATTAATATATATATATATAAAAAAATATATATATTTTTCCATGGCAAAAATAGACCATAAATATTGCATAAATATTAATAAATTCAATCAAATTGTCTCAAAATACTAAATTACAAAGAATAAATATTATAGAACAAAAATAAATTGCATTGGTTCTACTGGGATGGAGGAAATTTAATTTTTAGATGTCCGGTCACTTTTGACCGGGAAGATAACAAGTGTGACTCCGAAACGAAGAGCACCTGAGGGTTAAGTAAAAAGAAATCGCTAGTTTATACCACTAACAAGGCTCAAAATTGCCCCACACTAACACGGTAACATAATGAGGGTCCATACATGCAAAACGAAGCATTGAGAAATTTGTAAGTGTACAGACCGTTTAATAAGAAGATAAATACAATACAGTTCACTTCGCGTATACAGACAGGAGCCATCTGCGGAAAACAGTCCAAACAATGTGTGTGTTGTCCCTCATGAAGCAGGACAGCATCAGTAATGTGTGTGTTGTCTCCGGCAGGAGTGAGGACGTCATGCCGTCCGATCTGGAGTTGGGTCGAGTGGCCAATAACGTTCAGGAGCTGCTGTACACGGCGTCAGACGTCAGTCACGACCGCTGCGTCAAAGTGCTCATGACCCGAGCCAAGGTAAACACACACACCACACTTCCCTCACACCTTTCCCTCGCGGGTCTGAATGACCCGAAGCGCTAACGTTATACTTATAATATTTGTTCTATATTTTTAATGCAACTTTTTTGTTATTTTTTATTTGATTTACCTTTTAAATGGATAGATTTGATCAATAAATCATAAATAAATAGTCATTTAAGCACATTCCTCACATTCTTTCAACGTAAATGCAAAGTCAGAATACCTTACATTGAGGAAAACAAACATGTATAACATGATATTTCACTATTCTCTATTGAACTCTATCCACTAGATGGAGCTGTTCCGCTGGGTCCTAAAGTCACTTAGTATGCATTCAGATACACATAAAATATTTTTTTGGTAATGTTTTAGCATGTTCAGTTTGAATTTTGAGCATTTTTAGGTTTTTCTATGCGTTCCTCGCATTCATTCATTCCTAACTGGGTCAAAATGACCCACAAACGAAGGATTTGTTACTTTGTGAAATTTCAATCACAAAACTACTCGAATCCATTACTTTTTTGTGTGTGTTTGTGGTTCAAGTGCGACAAAAGTCCGTCCTACGGACTCAATTTTATAATTTTTAATTATTAAATGAATTTTGGTGGGATGAGGATGATGGTCTGTTCCCGCAGGACGGGTCTCTGGAGCGTTTGAGCTCGGCGGAGTTCGTGCGTTTGAGTCGGGCGGTGGAGTCGTTCGTCCAGGACACTGAGGCGGAGTGTGTCCGGCGCAGCGTGAGCCTGAGGGGGGCGCTACAGAGCCAGGCCAACCGCTTCGTGCAGCGCTTCCACGAGGAGCGCAAGACCAAGCTCAGGTACAGCTGCCCAACACACACTACGGCTACATCCATCCGGAGACATTACAAATTATTATTAGCTAAAGCTATATATTATTAACGCCTATTAGACAACCACATTAGACAGTTAGTCTATGACTAAACTTGCATCATTGTTTTTAGAGACCCCCTCTTTGACCGTCCACACTAAACACACTTTCAAACGTATCCACTTTGGAGAGTGAGGAAAAGATGCGTTTCAAACGAGAGCGTATTATTGTGGAGTTTGAAGAGCTGTGTGTGTGTGTGTGTGTGTGTGTGTGCAGTCTGCTGCTGGATAACGAGCGCTGGAAGCAGGCCGAGGTCCCTGTGGAGTTCCAGGATCTGGTGGACTCCATCGCTGACGGACGCATCAGTCTGCCTGAGCGCAAACACACGGGTAGGAGACCGCGCACACTGTTGATGAGTTTAATAAATGTTTTTATCCTACTGTATAATAGTGTGACTCCGGTTAACTGCGTCCTTTACTGCACTTTATTATACACATCTCAGTTTGGCAAATGTGTGTTCTGAGTTGTGACTTTTTTCCTTCCATGTTTGTATGGATTTCCCTATTAATGAATAATTCACCTTTTATACACCTGAATTATACACCTTTTCAATTATTCAACTTTTTTTTTTTTTACAGTATTAATATGTTATTTTACCATACAATAGGTGTTTTTATAGGATTTCTTATTGCAATTTATCATATATTTTCAGAGATAATTTTTCTACATTTGTTGTTTATTATTGCCGTTTATTACTGCCGTTTATTGTTGCTGTTTATAGTTGCCGTTTATTGTTGCCGTATTGTTACCGTTTACTGTTGCCGTTTATTGCTGCCGTTTATTGTTGCTGTTTATAGTTGCCGTTTATTGTTGCCGTATTTTTACCGTTTACTGTTGCTGTTTATTGTTTGCCGTTTATTGTTGCTGTTTATAGTTGCCGTTTATTGTTGCCGTATTTTTACCGTTTACTGTTGCCGTTTATTGCTGCCGTTTATTGTTGCTGTTTATAGTTGCCGTTTATTGTTGCCGTATTTTTACCGTTTACTGTTGCTGTTTATTGTTTGCCGTTTATTGTTGCTGTTTATAGTTGCCGTTTATTGTTGCCGTATTTTTACCGTTTACTGTTGCTGTTTATTGCTGCCGTTTATTGTTGCTGTTTATAGTTGCCGTTTATTGTTGCCGTATTTTTACCGTTTACTGTTGCTGTTTATTATTGCCGTTTACTTTTGCCGTTTATTGTTGCCGTTTATGGTTGCTGTTTATAGTTTCCGTTTATTGTTGCTGTATTGTTACCGTTTACTGTTGCTGTTTATTATTGCCGTTTACTGTTGCCGTTTATTGCTGCCGTTTATTGTTGCTGTTTATAGTTGCCGTTTATTGTTGCCGTATTTTTACCGTTTACTGTTGCTGTTTATTATTGCCGTTTACTGTTGCCGTTTACTGTTGCCGTTTATTATTGCCGTTTATTATTGCCGTTTATTGTTGCTGTTTATTGTTGGCGTATTGTTACCGTTTACTATTGCCGTTAATTGTTGCCATTTATTACTGCCGTTTATTGTTACTGTTTACTGTTGCTGTTTATTATTACCATTTATTGTTGCCGTTTATTGTTGCATTTATAGTTGCCGTTTATTGTTGCCGTATTGTTACCGTTTACTATTGCCGTTTATTATTGCCGTTTATTGTTGCCGTTTAATGTTTATTGTTGCTGTGTATTGTTGCCGTTTATTGTTCATTGTCGCCATTTATTGCTGCCGTTTATTATTGCCGTTTATTGTCACCATTTATTGCTGCCGTTTATTGTCACCATTTATTGTCGCCGTTTATTGTTGCCATTTATTGTTTATTGTTGCCGTTTATTGTTCATTGTCGCCGTTTATGATTGCCGTTTATTGTCACCGTTTATTGTCGCCGTTTATTATTGCCGTTTATTGTTGCCGTTTATTGTTTATTGTTGCCGTTTATTGTTGCCGTTTATTGATTATTGTTGCCGTGTATTGTTGCCGTTTATTTTTGCCGTTTATTGTTTATTGTTGCCGTTTATTGTCATCGTTTATTGTTTATTGTTGCCGTTTGAGCCGTGTGTTTCGTGTCCTCAGCGTCGGAGGACCGGAAGCCCAGTGAGTTCCTGTGTGTCGACGGGCAGAAATACGCTGTGGTCGGGTGAGTGGTTTCCAGGACTTCATTTCTCCGGCGGCGAGTTTTCCTTTGTGACCTTTAACCTTTGACCTTGTGGCCTGTGATAGGACGGTGCTGCTGCTGATCCGGATGTTTCTGGAGTATTGCCAGTGTGTGAATGACATTCCCTCCATCACCACTGACATCCTCACGCGCCTTACCGACCTGCTCAAGGTGTGTGTGTGACCTTCACCTACTTCTGACTGCAGTGTGACATCACTTGACTGACAGGTTGTGTTTTGTTTCCATGGCGACAGCACTTCAACTCGCGGTGCTGCCAGCTGGTGCTCGGGGCCGGAGCGCTGCAGGTCGTGGGGCTGAAGACCATCACCACCAGAAACCTTGGTAACCTCTCACACACACACACACTGAACACGCACTACACACTCACACACTGTCATGGCTCAGCTGTAATGAGGAGGGGGTGATATTTGTATTCTGATGGACAAACTGAATCAATTTTACTTAAAAAAGGTCTTAAAGTCAGTTTGATTTTCAAGACTGCACATGTACCTGCTGATATCAGTGGACTTAAAGCAAAAGATTTCAAGTCATGTGTGTGTGTGTGTGTGTGTGTCCTCAGCTCTGGCGTCTCGCTGTCTTCAGCTGGTGGTTGTCTTCATCCCTGTGATCCGAGCACACTTCGAGACCAGACTGCAGCCCAAACAGTACAGCATACTACGCCACTTCGACCACATCACCAAGGTACACACACACACACACACACACCGCACATGCTAGCGTGTGATGCTAACAGCTGCTTTCACTCTCTCTTCAGGACTATAACGACCACATCGCAGAGATCTCTGCCAAACTAGTGGCCATTATGGACAGCATGTTCGAGAAGGCTCTGTCTAAGGTGAGTGATGTCAGCCGTGTCGGGAAACTGACTGTAGATTAGATTTAGAAATAAGAGAGTTAAACTTCCTTATCCAGTATCCTGTTGTTCTGTAACCCAGAATATAATATAAAACAAATATAATATAATATCAGCAGCTGTGAGGTTTATGTGAAAGCACTTTTGGTGTGAAAGGACCGTAACATTTGCCAAAAATATTACCGTTGTTGTTGTTATTAAAAAACGAATAAGCAAGCTCAGCCCAGGTGAGGAAAAGTAACGCAAAAGTAATGTAACGTATTACTTTTCATAAAAAGTAACTAAGTACCGTAACTAAGTACTGTGTCCTCTGCAGTACGAGGTGAAGGCGCCCATGCCGTCGGCGTGTTTGCGTAACGTGTGTAAGCAGATGGCCAAGATGCACGAGGCCATTCATGAGCTGTTGCCGGAGGAGCAGACGCAGGTGAGGCGCGCGCGCGAGTGTTTGAGCGTCACACTGCAGACGCTGGTGTTCACCGTGTGTTTGTGTGCAGATGCTGTTCCTCCGGATCAACGCCCGCTTTAATCTGCACCTGAGGAGGCAGCTCGCGCGGCTGGGCGTCAGCAACGACGGCGGGCCGCAGAACGGGTGAGTGTTGGGCTGCGGCGGTGAGTTGAAGGAGCCGTATGGAAGATTGTGGTCAAAACTGGTACTGCAATCACTTTAGAATTACTGTAGAGCGGTGTATCCCCTCCCCCCTGACTCAAGGTTGTCAGATAGGCTGCAGGATTCAGCATTTTTTTTATCCCACACGTTTGTATCTGCAGCTGTGGTAACTAGAGCAGAGCTGGCAACCCGAATGTCGCAACACTACTGACTCTGTGATTGGTAGATGTGTGGAGGGTGGAGCATCAGACCAAAACACAACATAACAACATCAACATCAGTTGAGGGCTGCAACTTCACTTTTTAAATGACAATATGCTGGCCGGACTGCTGTTGTCAGTGATATAAGTATTTGAAATGAACATGATTTCTTAATGTCTAGTGACATATCAGGGCCATTTTATGATTATTTGAAATACATTTTTTAAACACAGCTCCTTTAAACATGCCATCTTATATTTCTAATATTATATACATTATTTACACACACACACAGTAGTAGTTCTGTATTTTATATCTAAATAAAAAAAATATAAATATAATTTACGTATATATTTATAATTAATATATTTCCTTTTTATTTTATATATATATATGTGTGTGTGTGTGTGAGTGAAAATATAATGAATAAATATACATATTTAATGAATAAATATATACATATATATTTATAATATATATATATATATATATATATAATGAATATAAATATATAATAAATATATGAATAAATAATATATAAACTATAATGAAATACATATATATATATATACACACACACACACACACACAGTAGTAGTTCTGTATTTTATATCTAAATAAAAAAATATATAAATATTATTTACATATATTTTTATAATTAATATATGTATAATGAATAAAATATACATATTTAATGAATATATATATATATGTATATAATAAATATATGAATAAATAACATATAAAATATAATGAAATAACATATATATATATATATATATATATATATATATATGTACACACACACACAGTAGTAGTTCTGTATTTTATATCTAAATAAAAAAAATATAATATTATTTACATATATTTTTATAATTAATATATGTAAAAAAAACTTATTTCCTTTTTATTTTATATATAATTTATATATTTTTCATATATATGTGTGTATGTTATTTCATTATATTTATATTTTTTAAAAGTATATTTTTTGCTACAAAATAAATCTCTCCCTCTCTCTCGCTCCTCTCTCACTCCCCCTCTCTCTCTCTCTCTCTCTCTCTCTCTCACTCTCTCAGGCTGGTGATGGTGGACGTGGCATTTTACTCGGAGAACGTTCAGGCTCTGCGCTCTCTCGAGTGTTTGGACTTAAACATGTCGGAGATCTGGGAGCAGAAAAGGTGATGACGGACCGCTCGTCCTGGCCAATCAGGCCTCTCCGTCACAGTGACCTGCCCCGCCCCTGAGCAGGAAGTGAGGTCAGTGGGTGAACACAGACTCAGGACTGGAGCTCTAGTTTGTTTTGTGACAACACTCGTGTCCCGCCGCTGCCTCGAGGCTCAGCATCTGTACTGACGGGACGTGCCCGGGAGGGACCGACACTTTGTTTTTTTTGTGGAGACCAAATCAGGACAAGCTTGTGTGGTTGACCAATCGCAGCTGGGGATTGTGGGTAATCTGTGTTTTGTTTGTCCTCAGTGCCTCCTTCAGCACCACCACTACAGTGCAACTGTCCATTCATGTGCAATCCGATTCCTATCGTTGTGAATATTGCTGAATTATTTAATCACTGTCGGATGAATCAACCAATGGTTATTTATTTTAATTGATTTTGTTGTTGATCGATCAATCATGTTTTTCTGTGTTGTTTTTTTTTCAAGTTAAGCTTTCAGGCGACGACGGCCGATTGGACAACTAGGGTTTTAAAACACATCTTTCTGACTTGTCATTGGGTTTTCCATCAACATGATTATGGTTTTGCTCCTGCTCTTGGTTTTCATGTTCAGGGTCACTCAGTTGAAGTATTAAAACTCTGGAGGGTTAAAGGTCAAGGATTCTTGTCCATGTTTATCTCATTATTTAAATGATGGTGTGTCTTCACACTCCCCAACTAGCATTTCTCTGTTAAACAGGTTTAGGTACAAAGACTCGTCAAGATTTTGGACCAAAATACCTAATAATGCTTAATTATTGAAAGTAATTTAACATGAATTATAAAACAAAGATAATAATGAAGAATGATTTCAATATAAGTATGTGTCCTTGCAAACTTGACTTCCCCAGCATCCACAGGTTTAAAGTGGCTCGCTGGTGATCTATTATATTTAAACGGAGGCCTGTGATTGGTTGGAATGAACGGAGAATGTGAATGTGTTTTCCCGAATCATGTGTTGTTTTGCTGTGAGCTTTGTGTTGGAGAGGATCCATGTATTATCTTATTTAACACCTGTGCTGTCCGGTTCAAAAGTGCCTAACCTTTATTTGGTGTCGAAGACGACTTCTGGCTCGAACGGTCCATCTGTGGGGTAGAAGTGCCTAATCCGTGTGTGTTTCGGGCCCTCGCTGCTGCTGATGCGGCGAACCCCAAGAAATACGCTGATGGGGGAACTGTTGTGGAATGCTTGACCTTTTAAAATGTGGCACTTTTTATCATTAATAAAGCCACGGTGAACATCAACACTGATTTTGTGCATTACTTACAGGCCGGGTTTCCAGATCACATGATCAAATGTTAATAGTTAGCCATTTTAATCAGTTCGCACATTTTGCATGGGAAAACGTCCATTATGCAATGTTCTCTTCCAATGTGAATAATGAACTGAAAGTAATATAATATATGAATGCTATTTTGAGTTTTTTTTTTATCATGCTGTCAAGACATTTACAGAAAATGATTAAATATATATTAAATATATTTATTAAGTTTTAAAATCCGAGTGTGAAACGGCATGTAACAGTACACACACATTAAATAAAATAAATGATATATATATATATATATATGTATATATTAATTTCTAATTCATTTAATGGATACATATACTGTGTTGTTTAAAATAAATTAATTATTAACGTACATTTAATTGATAATGATTGTTACACACAAAAACACACTCTCTGTCGTTCAGAAGAGACTTTTATTTTAGATTTCACTCTAGCGGTTTTTAAAGACTTTTATTCTATTCCGTGTCTTGAGTCTTTCTGCTTTCCGGTTGCCATCAGACTGTAGAAATGGCGCAAGGCAAACAGAAATTTAAAGCGCAGCGGGTCGGAGCGAAAAAGCACATACAAAAGCCGAAAGGACTCAAGAAAGGAGGTAAACATTGTGTGTTTTTGAGGAGCCGTTGTTCTTCGTATTAAAACTCCGTATTAGCAGGATGCTAAGTGAACGCATTTGCTAATGTACAGACGCGCATGCGCACTTTGTTTCTGCGTGAAATCACCATTGCTGAATTCGGGTCCGCATTCTAGTATATTATCACTACTTTTACAATAGCATTCTATGACAGATATAATATTTGTTTCCGAAATAGCCACATGTGAGTGTATTCAGTGTTATATTTGTTCCAGGAAGGATCATCGCACCCAAAAAAGCACAAGTGGTCCAACAGCAGAAGCTGAAGAAGGTAAACACATGGGTCAGTCCTCCTTCAAACCCCGTATGTGTCCATTAATATTGATTTAATGGGTGTGCATGTATTGTTTGTGCAGGGTTTGGATGTGGCCATCAGGAACAGGATTGAACATGAAGTCACACAGAAGGCCAGCTTGACTCTTCATAAGAAACTGAGTGTGCTGAAAACCCCAGCGAGGAAAGGCGGGACACCCGGACAACCACAATCAGCTCCTGGACCATCGAAATAACTTTTTGGTTTTTTTAAACTAAATAACACGACAGATATCAGGCTAATGATGTCATATCCGTACGGCCGCTAGATGACGCCATATAAAAACACAACTTCCCATTGACTGATACTGCACAACACACCATGATCCTTGAGAAATGTATTATTTTTTTTAGAATAAAATAATAAAAGATTGTGAGCTTTCATAATATATTATTTTGAACACATTTAGCCCTGTGACAGTGATTTTTTGTCATGGGCAAGCACTTGAATCTTCGTCATTTTATAAGCATATAAACTATTTTTATAGCTTTCTTTCACTTCTTTGTGTGTTGATCTCATAAACCAGAGCAAGTTTTTCCACTGTTAAGCATCACTTTATTAGTAGTATGTGAGTGTAAAATCCCTGAGGATTTTCCTCACTGCTTTATTTTGCGTCCACTGATCGGCTCTCAGTGTGATTGACAGCTTGCTTTCATCGCACACCACTCTCTCATTTTGATGCAAGTTCCTTTATTAAATCAGCAGGTTTAAACATACAAAGGCACAGTGAGCAATCACACAAGTTTTGACATGGCTGAAGAGTTCATGACATGTCCTACTAAACTACACCCTAGCTGAGCGAGGCACCTGACAGACAGCAGTGTAAGCGTTTACAGGACAGGGAGAAGATTTGTTCCAAATTTAAGGTTAATATCTCAAAAAAGCGTCCCTAGCGCCGTCCTGATCTTATATAGAGACGTTCATCTGAATAACACACAGCTGTCGGGTGAGAACACAACACAATGACTGCGCTTCGTGTTGACGTCCATATGAACAGCAGCTGACAGCGAGTGTGTATATGTGTGTGTTTATCACCTGTATTTGTGTCGGGAAAGGCGACTGAAGGAACAGGTGTGCAGTGGGTTATCTCTCTCTCTCTCTCTCTCTGTGTGTGTGTGTGTGTGTCACCTGTCTGGGTTTGCATGCAATAGCTTGTTTCCAGTCACTCAACTCTATTATTGAAGTGATAGTGAATGCATTTAAAATGAGCATTATTGTTGTTCTCATGTAGCATTTCAGACACTGCCGGTGTTCTGACAATTCATGCTACCCATCGAGATTTGCTACTTACCGGTAATGCGCATGTGCAGACTCACCGTTTTTTTTTTTTTTTTTTTTTTTTTACAAAAGGTACATTTTCCTGTTATAATGTATAATTTCCCTTTAAAAAATGCTTATGAATATTTGTACGGTCAGCCAGCTGAAAAGGAATAACTGAAAGTTTCAGTTACTATAAGAAAAGGTGTACTTTGACAAGTCAAAGATGAATATTTTATGATAATTTTTACTTTTCACACCGTTTTAAAAATAAAAACAGTAGTATACAGTAGCTACTCATAACTTAGAATTGTATTTCATACGACTTTAATCGGCATTCTGTGATCAATTCGCGCTACGGTAGCATTTTACGACAAGGCAGCAAAAATCGACAGAACACCTGAAAACTGACAACAAACTAAATACATAGTTTCAGCAACCAAAAAAACGGTATGGTTTGGTTAAAAAAAAAAATTGCTGTTCCTCACACAAATCAATCAAACGACAAATTCATCTTGATATTATTCGTCCCCGTTCATTTTTAAAACTTTTATACAAATATCTTCTTGTTTGTGTGCCATGGAAGACAGTCATAGACATTAGGGTGAGTAAATAGTCTGAATATTTGTGTAAAATATCCACCCTTTAAGGTGGTCAAACTGGTTTTTAGCACAGTAGCTTTGTCTGGAGGTCTACTGGGTCTAACCAGAGGGATCCATATGGTCTCTCAGATAAAAACTGGTAGCCGTTTAGCTCATGTTGACCGACTTATAATCATGAACAACCAATTTGGACCATCTAATCACACAAAACCAGCTATTTTTCGTATTAGATGTGTTTGTCCACTCTTAAAGCCCGTTCACACCAAGGATGATTACGATATTAAGATAGTTCAAGTATTAAAGAGCAGAGTTAGCTTTATTGATAAAAGCACAGAGAAACAATATTGTTGAAATCACTTTCAGGACTGTTTTATCCAACTGATTGACAGCCAATCAGAATCCACCCTGCTGTTACGGGCTTTAACATTTATAGCAGACAAGCGCGCTTAAACTTTATGGATGAATTCTTCGTATTGTAATTAATGCCCCCATAGTTTACCAAATTATATGAACAAAAGTGTCTATAGGAAAATAAAGAAAAAGTTCAGATGCAAAAGCCTCTAAGTGCCATTTGAAATTTTCTTCTACAATGATCATTTTTATCAAGCTTGTATATTTAAGTTCAGTGATTTCACTTAAATGGCAATGATAATTACCTATTAATTGTTATTTAAGTGAAATTACTGAAGTTAAATATACAAGTTTGATAAAAATCATCATTAAAGAAGAACATTTCAAATGGCATTTAGAGGCTTTTGCATCTGAACTCTTCAAATATTGAGCTTTTTTATGTATATTTATTTAGTTTTTATTTGTATTTTTTTCTTCTTCTTCTCCTTTATTTTTGTTATCCTTGTTTATTTGTTTGAACTTGTTTCAATATATGTGATTTCTGTCATGTGAAGCATTCCTGTTATATAGCCTAAATTGTTTTGTATTTGGATTTATTTCTCAATAAAAAAAAGACAAGCGCGCTTAAAAAAAAACAGAACAATACACTAATATAGTTAGGCTATTGTTGTTGGTGTGAACGGGCCTTTAATCATTTCACTTACTTTGCTTGACTATGGTCCTCTGTGGTTCCTCTGAAACCACCCACTTCCTCCAAAACCTTAAAGTCTCCCTTTTTGGTTCAAATCAAGTTTTTAATGTTGTTTATGTCTGTGATGGAATGTAAATTTCTATTTTACCAGGAAAATGACAACCTTAAGTAACTGGGACATTCATTTGATATATAAAACACATTAAAAAAAAAAAAGACTTTGGCTCCTGATATCCAAACACCTCCGCGCGCAACTAGCCTATACGTCATTCATCTGCATCGATGATTGACTCAGAAAGAAGTCGCTGCATTTAATAATTAGTCCAGATTTAACACTGTTTCTCTGTTGGATATGTTGTCCATATATCACCCATATGCTATTAGGAAGCCCCTCCTGAGGGTGTAATCTGAAGCCGCTGTTGTATCGGTGAGTTGCGGCAGCAGTACTCACTGCAGTCCTCGAGTGTGACACACACACATCATGTTTTAATGCGCGGTACTTTCAGCTCGCTTTAAAACATCGCGGTGCTTATGGGATAAAACAAGTGGATTTCGCGTGGATTTCTTGGAAGTGGTGTATCCATGATTTTGAAAGCTTCCTGGTTCTGGTAGCGACACACACACACACACACACACACCGCTGGTTCACACCATCTGCGAAAGTCGAGGGGTTTTATTTCGCCAACAGCTCCTTGTTTGGACGCGCGCTGAACGCGAAGGTCTTCCGTCTTTTTGACCGATGCGTTTCCACGGGTGACCGTTACATTACCGTGCGGATACATCGTCATCATGTGGACGACTAGGGCGCGTTGCCAGGACAGCGGGACCGATCCCGAGCGCGAGCGCCTCTGGGCCGAGCTATTCGAGCAACTGGACCTGAACAAGGACGGCCGGATCGATGTGAACGAGCTGCGGATCGGGCTCGCCGCCCGCGGGGTATCGTCGAGCTCCGTGGAGGAGGTAACATTACGGAAGAAACCCAATTCACACACACAGAGACATAACGGAAGGTTAGCCTATTTATAGAGCAGGTTAACTCTATGAATAGACAGGTTTATGATTTAATAGCAGATTTGGAGATGATAATCTGCAGTGCACCTCCTGCAGGTCACGTGATCCTAAACGCAATTTCTGTAAATACTGAAAGTGAAAATGCTGCAGTACGCGATACAATCACAGCCAATCAGATTAAATCTGATGCTAAATATTCAATAATGGACCAATGAGATTGCACAGTGGGCGGGGCTTCCCAGCTTAGGTCTAAAGATAAAAGGCTGCGTCCTAAATCATGTGCTGGACATTGTGTACTATTACTTTTGATGTTAAATTTAGATTAGAAAGATGTGCTGGAGTCATTAGCGAGAGTATTACCCATTATACGGATACCTAGTTACCAACATAGGCTAGTTAAACTCTTAATGCTTCATGTGGTAGCTAATAGTAACACTGAAAAGCAGGATTCTTGTTTCCAAGGCCGGGGTCAGGAACTATCGTGTCCTGCAGCACTAATGAACCAGTTTATGAGTTTAATAGTTAATGATCTCAAGGCAAGGTCAGAGGAAGGGCAATATCACCCGCTGGCACTACATCAACATCACCTGCCATCTGAAATAATCCAGCAGACTAGTGTAAAGCGACAAGCGTCAACAGCGGTGCATGATCTTAAGAATAAGAGCGTAAATAATGGGGTTTGCCAAGTCAGTCACTATTGGTCTAGTGATTTGCTCAAACCACTGTTTGTTGCTATAATGTAAGGCTAGCAGGTCAAACCCAAGGCCTAGGGAACAAAACAATGAGAAGTTATCAAAACAGACACACACACACACACGTGTTAAATTAATCTGAGTTATCTAATCTCTCCATGGCATGCTGTTTATATACCAACACACACTCTAAACCTGTAGTTTATAGTCCAGCACATTGATTACTGTGGGTTATTGATCTGTTTGCCTAAGAACATCTTTGTGTCATTGATTTTTTTGACTTGAAGTTGAGGATTTTGTAGTGTTATGTCGTGCTTGTGGTTTGGATGTGACATGTGCAATGCATGTGTTTATTTGCATTATGCATGAATGTATATTGAGACGAAAGTATTACGCATGCCCACAGAAATACACACGTTGGCTGTAGAGTGTGCTAAAGGTCAGCGTCTTGGAGTCGATCCATGTGAGAGTAAATATCATATGACTGCTGGCTCACATAAACAAACACAACAACACACACTGTGTAGATGCCTACACACAAAGGAGGCATGAAATCAGTGTAATTACTGGCAGATGTTCCCGTACAGGGCAGTTTACTCTATAACATATGATACCAGAGATTGTGGGAATAGTGGTAATGAACACTGGAATGAGTGCCAGTGTGGATTTAAAGCGACAGTAACCTGTGCATCCTGATTCATTAATATGTAGTCAGTGTGTTCACAATGTCCTCTCCATAATTGAGCTGATTATAAAACCCAGAACGCCGAGACCTGCAGCGAAATGCCTCTCTAATCCTCTCTAGGACAGACATTATGGATAGAATCTAGGGATGCACAATATATCGAAATATCGCACATGTATATATCGCGATAACGGCTTGCAATAACTCCGGTCATGAACAAAAGACTGAGAAAAACACTCACAGCTCTCGGCTGAATAACTTCGGTAGCTTTAATATAAGAATCTGTATAATTCATATGGTGAAAACTAAACAGTGTTTTATTTTACTAGGGCTGTACAAAAATTAATTGCGATTAATCGCATCCAAAATAAAAGTCTGTGTTTACAAAATATATTTGTGTGTGCTGTATATAATTATTTTGTATATATAAATACACACACATGCATGTATATATTTAAGAAAATGTGTTATTCATATATAAAATATTTATATTTATATAATATAGATTATGTATTTATATATATATATATACAGAATTTAAGCGCAAATAATTCTTAAATATATACATGCATGCATAGGTATTTATATATACAAAATAATTATATACAGCACACACAAATATATTATGTAAACACAGACTTTTATTTTGGATGCGATTAATCGCAATTAATTTTTGCACAGCCCTAATTTTTACATTTGATTATTCAGTTTCTATTGTTAAATAACCCTAATGTAGGATAACCCGAACCCGTGCGTCAAAATAACACTTCTTATGCGACAGTAAAACACACTGCTGATCACTTTTAGAAGTTGTTGGGATGTTTTAGTGTCACAAGAAGAATGTGAAATGCGTATGTAGTTTATTTAACTTTAAATATATTGTAAAGATAATTTAAGCTTATTTTACACACTTCAAGCATTATCGTATCGCATATCACATTATTTAATGAGTTATCGCATATCGCATTTTCCTTTAATATCGTGCAGCCCTAAAGAATCACATCTGAAATATTTATGCTGCCATCGGGGCCGAATCTGGGCCGACACTATGGTGCGGTCTAGGATGCTATTGGACTTATCATAAATACAAATTACAAATACAAAATTGGACATTAACACCCTTTCAAGTCGTATTCACTCCTGGGAAACTCTGAGAAGTGATCATGCATAATGCAAACACATTTATATATTGTCTTGTTTTTATCCAAACCACAACAAGCACAACATGACACTACTAAAACACTAGTGAGTAAATAATGATTTTTGGGTGAACTGTCTCTTTAAGAACTCATTATCGGGCTGCTGTTTTGCACTTGGCTTTCTCCGTGTTTTTCATATGATAATTATGTTCAGATTCAGCGATTAACCCTTAAATGCTTGACTCTATATTGTTTTAATTATTCTTATTTCTTTTGATTATTTGAATTTCTTCAATGTAAAGCACTTTGAATTGCTATATAAATAAACTTGCCTTGCCTATATTTAACACACCTGTTGCGATAATAAATAACCCGATTAATAAAACTCTCCCGATATTAGAGTAACAATTACGGAAGAATAAAATAAAGGATGTTTTGTAATCTTTTGGAGCTCTGGAAGCGTTCAGTTTGAGCTGATGTTTAATAACAGCATCACGGTCCTCAGAGCACATTTCCAATAACATTCAGCATCTGGCTCATATTCGCGAATCCTTAAAATCTCCAAAATTAACATGTTGATCGCTCGCATCTTCTACGCCAGATCCATCACCAGTTGTTTTCGGCACTTGCTCTGCAGTAAATTACTGAGCAATTTCAAGTTTTGCTGATGATTCTTCCTATTCTTTTGTTTTCTGCCTGCAGTGACTATGAGTGAAACTTCACTTCGTCATTGTGTTTCAGACAGTGCCACCTTGTGGAATAAAAATGTGTTGGTGTGGGCAAGGCCTTCTTGTTGTGCAGAAACTTGTTGTGTACACCTTGGGTCGTTAGTGACCCTATACAATTTTTAGACAAAATTTAGGGAAAACAGGAACTCTTTTAAAATTGAATTGTTATTTTTAATAATGAATTGATTGAGGAATATTATGAAGGTTAATGTCTAACTTTAAAAAAGTGAATGAGGAAGAGGTTAGCGAATGACGGCATTAAAGCCCCGAGGTGTGCGGCGTTTAAGGGTTAATGGCAGAAACTGACCGTTTGAGCACTGATTGCTGGTGGCTTTGCAAATTTTTTAATGTGCTTTTCTTCTTCATTTGCACCCCTCATCCCACCTCTCCTAATGATTCCTGGCATCCCTCTTTCCCCCCTTCTCTCTCTCTGTCTCTCTCTCCCCTCTCCGTATGCCCATATATTCAGCAGGTTGTTCGAGCCGGAGACATCAATGATGACGGTCAGCTGGATTTCGAAGAGTTCACGGAGTATCTGCGTTCACATGAGAAGCGCCTCAAGCTCATGTTTCGCAGCTTGGACCGCAACAATGACGGTTGGTTTCTGTTAGCTTCACATCACTGGCAGAATTTCTGTTATTTTAGCATTATTTTTTATTCTATTATTATAATATTTATTAATATTTTTAATTTGTTTTTTTTATATTATTTGGTATTTTTATTTGAGTTTTAGTAATTTTATTGTTTGCTTTTGTCATTTTGATTACTATATATATATATATATATATTTAGTAATCAAAATGACAAAAACATTTGCAGCTTACTGAAATAAAATAAAGTACTAAAATTGCTTAAAACTAAAAAAAAATCAATTAATTATATGGTTAAGTTTTTAAGTTTAGGGTTTTCATTTAATATTTATATTTTATTTGATTTCAGCTTTATTTTTAATAGTTTTAGTTAACAACAACAACACTGGTCAGAATCTGTCTGAAAATGCGAGATAATTTTTTTAATGTCTTAATTTGAGTTTGTTCAAGTTATAGATAAAACGATTATATTTCCATCTATAACCTCACAATAGTCTTAAAATGTATAGCATTACACCAGTGTGAGCGCCTACGATCTTATATTTGCATTAGCGTCTCTGATTTTTATCTCATTGCTAGCATCTATTTCCTCATATTAGCATTTGAATCAATACTTTAGGATCTATAACGTCAAATTAGCATTACCAGCTATGAAATTACCTTAAGCACTATTACTTTACTGTTATACATAACCTCATAGTTTTAATAGCAGTTATGCTATTGCATCATTGTTAGCATCTATATCCTACATTTACCATTAGCACTTTTGAATCATTCTTAAGCTTTAAAGCATCAGATTCGTATTAGCAGCGGTGATATTACCGTTAACACTTACATGCCTGTTAGCATAGCCTCACAGTATCATTAGCAGCTATGCTATTGCATCGTTGTTAGCATCTATAGCCTACCCTAAATTTACCATTAGCATCTATATTTCTGAATCATTCTTAAGCTTTAAAACAATTTCGTATTAGCAGCTTTGATATTACTTTAAACACTTGTTAGCACTGTTAGCATAGCCTCACAGGATCATTAGCAGCTATGCTACTCCATCATTGTTAGCATCTATACCCTCAATGTACCATTAGCATCTATATTTCTGAATCATTCTTAAACCCTAAAACATCATCTTCTTATTGCAGCTGTGATATTACCATTAACACTTACATCCCTGTTAGCTTAGCCTCACAGTATCGTTAGCAGCTATGCTATTGCATCAATGTTAGTATCTATCCCCGTTTGTGTTTTGTAGGTCAAGTTGATGCTGAGGAGATCCAGCAGTCGCTACAGAGTCTCGGCGTGGACGTCTCGTTGGAACTGGCTGCCAAAATACTGCAAAGGTGCACGCGTTTGTGCTTAGCATGTATGTAAAGTGCCTTGAATTGCCTTTAAGTGATTCTGTGACACCCAATTCTTCTGAAATGTGTTCATTCAGCATGGACAAAGACCGTTCCATGACCATCGACTGGATGGAGTGGCGAGATCACTTCCTGTTTAACCCTTTGCACAACATGGAGGAAATCGCTCAGTTTTGGAAACACTCTGTGGTACGAAGCTAATCGCACACAGCTCAGGCTATACATCCAGCCTCTTTCTTTCTTTAACTCCATGGTGTGAAATGAATGCGGTTGTGCGTTTGGTGTAGATGTTGGATATCGGAGAGCATTTGACGGTCCCGGATGAGTTCTCGGAGAAGGAGAAGCAGTCAGGGTTCGTGTGGCGGCAGCTGATGGCCGGCGCTGTGGCGGGATCAGTGTCCAGGACAGGAACGGCGCCGCTCGACAGACTCAAGGTCTTTATGCAGGTGAGACAAAACGTCAGGCTAGTGAACAGATCTGCAGATTTCATGCCAGATTTCCATTTGGAGGTTCACGTTTGATTTCGAAATGCTAGCGATGTAGCTACCGCAGTACAATCTAGTGTTGCTGCACGATTATAGATAAATTGAGAATCACGATTTCTTTTCTGAACAGACCACTAAACAAAATAACGTCATTTCCTAGAGGTTATGACAAAATATAAAATTGCCGCAGTCTATATAAAAAGTTAAATTAATCTGTTAAATACATTTTTTTAAATTGGTTTGAATGAACGATTCAACGACTCGCTCGTTTCATTACTGGATGAAACAGCGTTTTTTTGAACAAATCTATCGAGTGACCGATTCAATGACAACTACATTCACTTGTCGCCCCCTACTGGTGTAACAATGTAATTGAGACAATCGTTATTTGAAGCGCCATGCTACTTCCAAAATTTTGATTGCTACCGTAGACATTAGTGTTTATATCCGTATTATATACGTATATGAGTGTTTGTAACACAGAAATAATGATACTGTGTGGTTGAAAAGACTGTTTGTGAAGCTGCTTAATACATGACACAGGAGGATCGTTGTCATTTTGGAATAAGATCATGTGGGTGTTTGAATCAAGATCTTTTAAAGTCTCCATGTGGTGAAAATCACATTTTTAATGTTGTTTATGTGTCTATGTGGTGTTTTTAATAGCATTGCTGAGTAACTGCAGTGAACCAAAGACAGTAATAACACGGTTTGAAATCGCTGGTGTTTCTGACGTCACACACTACCTTGTAACCAATCAGATCAACGTGTGATCGCCAACCAGTGGATCTCTGAGCTGAGTGAGTGAATGGAGGCGGGGCTCAATTGCATATTTATTGAACCGTCCATACTAAATGAGGCAAGAGTGTCGAGTTACATTCAAGATATTTTAAGACACAAATAATTTTTTTTCCAAGAATAAATCCCATAAAAAAGGCATTTTAAGGGAAAAATTTAGGATAAATGATTGACTACAGAGGTACTTTAACCATTAATCGTGCAGCTCTACAAGCTAATAAAAGCCTAGAGCTGTGTGAATATATTATATCCAGCACCACACTGACCCCTGGAGGTCATATGACTGAAACTAAACAGTTCATCAGTTATTATATCAGGATGTTTTGTCAAGTCAAGTCACCTTTATTTATAGAGCTTCAAAGCAGCTTTTGGAAAATAATGCAACAGAGTTTGTTTCTAGAAGAAAACAGTGTCACAGTTCAGCTTTAGTAAGTTAAGTGATGGTTCATTTTTGCTGTAGAAAAGTTATTAATTTAGTGCATTTAAATATATAGCCGCTCTGGAGAAAACCATGATGTCATCGTCCAGCTCAGTTCTCGTATAATGGTGTCAATGCAGGCAGAGCAATAATATTGTTGGATATTAAATGAAATGTCCCCAACTATCTTTTGTTTTATTCTAATCTAGCTCGACTGAAGCATTTAAAGGTGCTGTATGTAACCTTTTCACTCTAAAGCATAAAAATAGGAAACATGCTAAGTTCGCATACTTGTTTCTCTGAAAAACGCTTCTGCAGCCATTCGTTTTACTTTGAAGTGTGTGTTTCCAGGCTGGTCTGATATTGTGTTGCTAATTTTCATTGTCCATTGCGCTCGTTCCTGTTGCGTGTCCTTAACGGCGACCTCTGATATTTTGAATTGGCCTGCAGTTCCTATTTCCACCACTAGTTGTCATTCTGACAGACTGCACCTGTAAAGCTGTGTGATTGTGCAGGTGCACGGGCAGAGCTCGGAGAAGGGGAACGTGTGGCGCGGGCTGCGGGCGATGGTGAAGGAAGGAGGACTCGCTGCGCTGTGGAGGGGGAACGGCATCAACGTGCTGAAGATCGCACCCGAGACGGCCATCAAGTTCCTGGCCTACGAACAGGTACAGCTCTGGCTCTACACTCAGCTGTGTGGACGGCCAGTCGAAGCTCAGCCCGCCTGTGTGTGTGTCTGTAGATTAAGTGCTTGATGAGAGGCGGTAAAGAAGTAGGAACTCTGAAAGTTCAGGAGAGATTCGTCGCTGGATCACTGGCTGGAGCTACAGCTCAAACTATCATATACCCGATGGAGGTAAACACACACACACACACGCACGTTTACTTAGATTTCTTACATCTAAATGGGTACAATTCCATAATGATTTTAATACTGTACAAACTGTATACTTGTTCTCCTTACGCTAATTAACCTACCCATCACACACACTACACTCTTAGAAGAAAAGGTTCTATATAGAACCTTAAAAGGTTCTATCAGCGCTACATATTTGGAACCCCTAAAAGGTTCTATACACTCTTAAAAAAGGGTTCCTCTGGGTTCTATATAGAATCCTGGGGTTCTATACTTGGCCAATAGAACCTTTTACTAAAAAACATGGTTCTATATAGAACCATTCTGGAGTTCCATATATGAAGCGGGGGATGGAACCATTTCTGGTTCCAAATAGAACCATTTCTTCTAAGAGTGTAAAAACCCTTTAATTACTTAATATTTACACCAGATTTACAAATGAGGACGTCCCTAATGGGAGGTTTTTGGAGATTTTGTCAGGTTTTGGTCACTTCTCCCTTCACCCTCGCTCTCACACACACACTCACACCCTCTCTCTCTCTCTATCTCTCACACACACATGGCCGCTAGTTAGTGCACACAGTAAACATCAAGGTCACTCTGTATGTCAAGGTCTCACTAGTCGCATTACAGATTTACACAAAACTTTTGCGATGTTTTCTAAATGTCGCTAAAAAAACTATTGTGAAATGACGCTGTTTCCATTAACCGATGTTATGCGACTGAAGCATCATTTTTTCCTCTTAAGTCTTTATAAACATCATGGCAACGGATGCTGGTAGGCTCATGTATGTCATAGACACCGCACTAGCCATTATTATGAATAGATTGAGACATCGGAGTGTTTTCCCGTCCTGATCAGGATCCGGTTCTGGTGTCGACTCTCTCTCTCTGTGGTTCTGCAGGTGCTGAAGACTCGTCTCACTCTCCGTAAAACAGGCCAGTACTCCAGCGCGGCGGACTGTGCCAAGCAGATCCTGCTGAAGGAGGGCCTTCTGGCCTTTTATAAAGGATACCTGCCCAATATACTGGGCATCATCCCGTACGCGGGCATAGACCTCGCTGTCTACGAGGTGTGTGTCTGTGTGAATGTGTTTTTGTGTGTATGTGTGCACGTGTCTGCTTGTGTGTGTCTATGTGCGCTAGAGCCAGACCGATATATCGGCAGACCGATATTAGGCATTTTCCAAACTATTGGTATCGGCAGTTATAATGGCCGATAAATGAATATTTCAAAAATAAAATAAAAACGGATGAAACACGCTTGAACCATGTCATGAGTGTTGGAGTTGTATAGTTTGTCCACCAGAGGGCACTCTACACCGTTCCTGTTGGCAACACTCGTTGAGTTGGTCACGAGACATACATTGCTTGAATAACAATTAAAAGAACATCCCCATCAGTTCTCTAAACTCAAATAAGCATGACAAAATTTGTGACTATCATGTCCAGTTTAAAAAATAAATAAATAAATAAAATATCGGCCGATATATCGGAATATCGGATTTTAAAACCCAAAAATATCTGTATCGGTATCGGCCTTCAAAATCCTTTATCGGTCGGGCTCTAGTAAATACTGAACTCATGAGTCATGATTAGAGCCAGACCGATATATCGGCAGACCGATATTATCGGCCGATATTAGGCATTTTCCAAACTATCGGTATCGGCAGTTATAATGGCCGACAAATGAATATTTCAAAAATAAAATAAAAACGGACGAAACATTCTTGAACCATGTCATGAGTGTTGGAGTTGTATAGTTTGTCCACCAGAGGGCGCTCTACACAGTCCCTGTTGGCAACACTAGTTGAGTTGGTCACGATACATACATTGCTTGAATAACAATTAAAAGAACATCCCCATCAGTTCTCTTAACTCAAATAAGCATGACAAAATTTGTGACTATCATGTCCAGTTTAAAAAATAAATAAATAAATAAAATATCGGCCGATATATCGGATTTTAAAACACAAAAATTTTTGTATCGGTATCGGCCTTCAAAATCCTTTATCGGTCGGGCTCTACTGTGCACGTGCGTGTGTGCGCGCGTTTGTGTGTGTCTGTGTATCTCTATGTGTGTGTGTGTTCAGAATAACTCTCTCATAAAGGCTGTCCGTCATCTGTCCTCCTCTCGCAGACGCTGAAGAACGCTTGGCTACAGCGTCACACCGAGGGCTCGCCTGACCCGGGGGTCCTGGTGCTGGTGGGCTGTGGGACGGTGTCCAGCACCTGTGGACAGCTGGCGTCCTACCCGCTCGCCCTCGTCCGAACACGCATGCAGGCCCAGGGTGAGGGACAGACTACTCACGAATCTACATATCCGAATATCGCATAAAACGTTTGCGAATAAAGTAATGTTTCTCACGGAAACCCTGAACCGCAACGTAAAAAAATAAAAAAATCTAAAATGACGAGAATAAAGTTGTAATATTTTGAGAGTAAAGTCAAAATAACGAGAATACAATATTCTTCTTTTTTATGAGTGTATTTCGTAACTAAAATATTAAGTAATTTTGACGTGCTATATCAGAAATGCATTATCGGTACTGAAATCCGCCTGATCCTGAAGATGTTTCTTCTCTCAGCGTCAGTGAAAGGCGCTCCGCAGATGTCCATGCTGACCCTGTTCAGAAATATCGTGGCCCAGGACGGCGTGGTGGGACTCTACCGAGGCATCGCTCCAAACTTCCTCAAGGTCATCCCGGCCGTCAGCATCTCCTACGTCGTCTACGAGCACATGAGGAAAGTACTGGGAGTGGGAACCTGAGAGAGAGAGAGTCAAATGAATCCTTTTTTTGTTGAACGATGGACAAGAAAGGTCAGAGACGGAGTTTATTTATGCCTACTACAGTATATGGGACCACCGGAGTGATGTTCTCAAAAAATAAAACAGAGGATGTGAGGAAGAACGATGAACTGATTTTAAAACGCTGAAATATGCAGAATCCAAGAGTCCTGAATTCCTGAGGTTTATGATGTATTTTGTTGCTCAACAGGAGCCTGATATTCAGGTTTACAGGGTACGTTCCTCTGGACGCAGTAAAATGAACACTTGCGTGTGGGTGAGTGTGTGTGAGCATGTGTGTGTGTGTTAGGGGTGTAAAGATGCCCTCATGTCACGATTCGATACATATCACGATACTGAACTCACGATATGATATTATTGTGATACATAAAAAGTTAACAAAAAATGCACTGTTATTAAAATGCTAAATTTTAAAGTACACTGTGGGTGTAAATGAATTAGTCTTAGTGCTGGAAACCAAAAGCACAGGACAATAGTGACACTTAATATAGTGAAGCTTAAAATACACAATTATTTTAGATTAATATTCTGTCACTGACTAGATATATTTAAAATAATGTCGGACACTTTTAACTGGTAACAGAAACATATGCCATTATCAGGACACACAAATATTCCCTCATTGATATTTACAATTTATATATATATAGGGCTGTCAAACGATTAATTGCATCCAAAATAAAAGTTTGTGTTTACATAATATATGTGGGTGCACTGTGTATAATTATTTTATATATATAATATAAATACACACACATGCATGTATATTTAAGAAAAAATATAATTTATATCTAAAATATTTATATTTATATATAATATAAATTATATATAAATCTATATAGTATATACATGAAAATATTTCTTAAATATATACAAGCATGTGTGTGGATTTATTTATATAAAATAATTATTCACAGTGCACCCACATATTATGTAAACACAAACTTTTATTTTGGATGCGATTAATCGCAATTAATCATTTGACAGCCCTAATATTTATATAATGTATCACTGACACTAAAACAGTAATTTTTGTTTTGGCTGAACTATCCACGATACATATTTTTGCCTTTTTTTGTATTGCAATATATTGTTACACCCCTAGTGTGTATGTGTGTGTGAGCATGTGTGTGTGTAACCCAGTGCAAACACTACTGAACCCCCTACTGGAATGAACAGAAAACTAACTTCCTTCTTTTCGACTCACAGTGAGACTGAAAGTGCCTCTGTTTCCAGAAACACGTGTTGAATCAGCTGTGCTCCAGTAGTTTAATGCTGAAAGCCTTGTGTGTTCCAAAATCATCATCATCTCAATAATAAGAGTTCTGGAATTCTCAACAGAAGATTCCGGAACTCAAGTTTAACTGATTCCAAGATTCCGAACTATCCACCCTAAATAGTGTCAAAACACAAGGTATCATTCATTAAACACATTTTATTGGTTAACTTGAACTTGATTGTGCTTGTGTTTCGTGAATAAGGCCTGCAAAATAGTATGCCAAAGATTATAATAGTATGCACACTTCTTTCAGTCATTTTTCTTCGACGCATGAATTCATGCATGTTTTTTTTTTTTTTTTCCGGCTAATATTCCCCAACCCTTTACCAGATAACTTTTGTAATGGCTCTCTTTCGACTCTTTCAGATGAAGAAAAGTGTCAAGGAATGCAAGGCCAACAGTTTTTGAATATTTTAGATTTTAACGAAAGTAATTTTAAGGTAATAAATTTGGCTAGATGTTAATGCTCACAAAATTCTGTCTTACTACAGAAGTACATACTTTTCCATCACCAGCTTAGTACATACTTGACATGAACTGGAGATCTTTTTAAATAGCTGTTACTCCCAATGGATAACGCACTGTGGCCTACAATTTGGAGCAGAAAGCCTTATGGACTCACGGATGGGAGAGCATGTGTGTTCATTTTTGTGATTTTTGAGTCTTCAAGAAATCGAACAGAGCAAAAGACTGTCTTCTAGGGTCACTTCTTGGTCAATGTGCTCTGTACTTTATCACCACTTTCAGAAGATGTATATCAGTCCGAGAGACTGTTTGGATGTGTTACAATACAATAAAGATCCCTGCCTGGAGTCTGCACCCACAGGTTTCCATCAAACACCTTTCATTCAAGTCTCAAATATGATTTTTGTTTATTATTTTCTTTTAATCTATATGCTACTGTATTCAAAACTTTCAGCAGTTGTACATGTCATGATGTCTTTCTCCCCTGGGAAAACGGACCAACATTATTGATGACATCATCCTGCACTCACAGGTGTAGCCAATCAAGTTCTCTCTAGAATGAGAATGCCCCTCCCCCTAATTCAGCAGCGAGTAAACTGGAGGCAACTGGCTAGTTTAATAAGCTAAAATAATTCCACTTCCAATAAAATCTAGTTTTAATATTTCCTCAAAATTTCCCCAAAGTTAGTATGGAAACAAAAAAAAACCAAAACATTAGTTTAAGGCCTTCTCATTTCCAGTGATTTTGTGTTTTCAGACACGGACTACTGTTTTTATTTCGATGTAAACAAAACAAAGAACATTGTATGGTGATTGTTTTGTTTTTTTACTGTCATGACGTGTATGTTTTCTTTGAAAGGAAACTGAATTATATCTGAATGCATGCAAGAGAATGTATGTTAAATTAAATTAAACTAAACTAAATCGTACCGTGTCTTCATTTACGCTCTTTACCATCATTAAAACATCACCTCATCTCAGCTATCCGGAAACTCCATTTCACTACCGCATAAAATGCCACATAAAATTAAAGGTTATCCGGTGCTAAACTGCTATACGCTGATCTAAACGTCCATCATTGTTAATCGACGTTTCCTTCAACCTCATTGGCCTATTTCATAAGCTCCTGGTCGCTGATTGGCTCCCTCACACAGCGGTAAGCTCTGTTTGTCGCGTTTGGTCATAAAAACGTCTTTTTTTTCGACGCCACTCATTGGTTCGACAACTCTTCACCCGCCTCTAGCTGCTTTCTAATTGGCCGTCGCAACTGCCACTCATCACGAGCGCCTATAGGAGAGCTCTTTTAGACCTACAGGCCTTTTGTCCCTCCCATGCGTTTGTCTCGCTTGTCTTCCCGCGTCTGCGCACCTCCGCCCGGCCTAGACCTCCCCGCCGTATCCCGCACACTTCACCCCTCCGCACGGACAGCATGTCTGAATACAGCGCGGTGCCGCCGCCCGGGCCCGGAGCGGCTCTAGGAGCAGTTGTACTTAAGAAAGACGCGTTCGCCGACGCTGTTCAACGCGCACGGCAGGTGAGTGATCCGCAGTGCGGGAGCGAACGGGCCGCGTTTAGTGGGTCAGCAGCGCGCGCAGGGCCGCGCGCACATGAGCCGGCGTGCGCGACAATTATCTGTTAGCATGAGCTGCGATCGCGGATAATTCTGAGCTAAACTAGTGTATACGAGGTCTTTTTTTTACATTTGCTATCGAATAATAGGATTCAGTAACGGAAACACATGGTAATGCTAAGGTACTCGGATAAACAGCGTGGCACAGTTACCATATTCATGTACCATCATGGCTCGTTCACGATAGTCTAAGCAACTACCATTGTAAGTGTTTAAAACCTCGTATTAGCATCGTATTATCAAATCAACTTAAAAGCACCATGGTTTAACAATGTTTTTTGGACCCACACATTGGTTTTATTGGGTTCATACCCTGGAAAAAACATTCTAGCACCATGGTAGCATTTGCTAACAAACAAACAAGTTGTGTTACTCAATGTGTTGATTTACTAGTATGCCTATTGTTTTAGATGCTAAACTACGGTAGTTTACATTAACCACTGTGCAGATTGATTGCTGTATTAATCATGTTTGTTTTGTTTTTAACGTTGTTTGCCTATGCATTTAAAAAATATATAATAAAACAATAGTGTATGTTTAAAATAAACAACAGCTTATTTTAAAAAAGCTATCTAAAAACAAGATTTATAGTACTTTTGGTTTGTGTGTATTAACTTAATTTGAGTATGCTGGTTTTGCTGTATTAATATAGTTTCACCACTTGTTTTCCAGATCGCTGCAAAGATCGGTGGAGATGTTACGGGAACCCCCATGAGCAATAACGGTGGATCGGAGAGTTATCCCTTCGCGTCACAGAAGCGATCGTTGGAGGACGGAGGTACGGTGGCCGCTAGGCACACACTTGATCTGTCCGTCCCACTCGTGTGAGTTTGTGTTTGACCTTTTTGTTGTGTGTTTTTCCCTCAGATCAACCCGAAAGTAAGAAGATGGCGTCTGACAGGGACAACCCTGCATCCTTGTGTACGAGCTCCTTTACTTTCTCTACACACTCTCAAAAGCAAATGCGTGTGTATTTTTAGAGCAATGATTTTATCCCTGTCTCATCCACAGCTATCGGAGCCCAGCTGGCTGCCCTTTCCCAGCAGAGGTAAGACCATCCGCTTGTGCGCTCGCAACAGAGTGATTACTAGCGCTAGCGTATAAACAGATCTGTGTGTTTGAAGGCCAGAATAACTTCTCAGGCCTGGGCCGGTTTCAAGTTCCACTCACTCGAATCGGACGTGTTTTCAGGGGCTCTTTAAAATACTATTTTTAGCATAACGTGGCATCTTGTAGTATCACTAGATGTGGTGCAGCGACTAAAGATGTCCGTCTGAGTGTGTTTAAGCACGTAAATCTTTTCTGAAAGTGGTTTAATAAGAATGCACTGCATTTGTGTTTTTCATGACTGTTGCTTTTTGTCTCTCTGTAGCGTTCGTCCCTCGTCTCTCACAGAAGAGTACAGAGTACCTGACGGCATGGTTGGGCTCAGTAAGTTTGTTTCCCATCATGCATTGGTCAATACTGTACTTTCTTAGGTGAATTGCTGTCAGGGTCATATTATATTTAGCTGCATGTATATTTATTTATGTAGATACACACAGGGGTTGGTCAATGAAACTGAAATGCCTGGTTTTAGGCAGTAGTTTATTAGTATGGTGTAGGGCCTTTAGCAGCCAATACAGAATCACTTTATCTTGGGAAGGACAAATACAAGTCTAGCGGTGTATTATCATGCTGATAATACTTTAGGGTCCCTGACAGAGTCCCGATACTTTCATAGGAGTGGCCAGTAGGGCTGGTTACCGAGTTCGGTACTTTTTAGGTACTGGCCGAATTGCCTCGGTACTACCGAGTATCGAAACATGTCTTGTTTTTCGGTACCTAAATGGTTAATCTCGTCAAAGTCAGTGAAACAATAAGCACGCAGCATGATTGGCTGTGGTGGAAAACACTACTTTATGCGGCTACCCAGAGACGTAACTCGTCGCACGTGAGCCATAATCATATTTGCTGCCAGCACACTTATTAAACACTTGTTTATTAATTAAAATAACAATTAAAATATATCCTTGCTGTTGTTTCCCGACACATCCATGATCATTAAGCTACTTTTCCGGCAAGCTTCATGTGTGCTGAGCGCGAGGCATAAATCCCGCCTCCCAGTAGCCTATATTTAACTTATTTTTGTAGCCTTTTTCACAATACATATCGTTTGCAGAAAATGCTTGTTTCTAAATTACAATTTAGAGTGATGATCTGTTATCAGAGGTGACGGTGTAATGCATTTCAATTAATTTTCATTCAGTTAAGGTATAAACAAGATAAGGCATAAACAATGAGCTCAATGATGTAAAGAAAACATGTTGTTCAATGATTAGGAAACATAGAAAACTTTAGCATTGGTGCTTTTTTACATACTCGAAATATGAGTGTGAAAAAGTCAACAAACTGAAAAATAAAATAAAAATGTAGGTGATATTATATTGTTAAAACTGGTTGCATAAAATTGGTATCGAAAAAGGTATCGTTCAGGAACCGGTATCGAACATTTTGCTACGATACACAGCCCTAGTGGGCAGGCAGTCTCGGGTGGCACAGAACGTCTGTAGTCGACTAGTAGTAGTTAATTTATGCCTTTAGACTAATTGCACGTTTATATTAAATTAATAACTTAAATATATCCTGGTTTAAAATATTGCCAACCCCACACTCAAACGCTAATGATTAAGAATCGAACAGAAACCGCAAGGAGTCATTTTATTTATGAAGAAACTAGTGTTTTCCAGGTCAGTGTCGGCTGCAAAAAATGCGAACAGAGATGCTGGCTCTTGTGGAGAGAAGTGCACCTTGCGTACGGATTACAGAGAGCAGTAGTACGCTTCAGGCTTTCAGTAGATGTATTTCTCATGTCTGTGAGGCAAGTGTACGCAAGTTTTGCTTCATTTGTGACGCACTGCAGTTCGAGACGCTGAAAGCGCTTCCTGTTCGTTTTCTTGTGAGTTTATAAATGATGCATTACTCTTATCTGTATGACCAAAAATGGTGTTAAAAATGGTGAAAATTAAATTGATTGTGTCGTGCAGTAAAGTGCCCTATACTTCAGCTTCCTCACTCCGCACGATCACTTGGAAATGTGCCTAAAAATAGTGTACGTTTATCAAGTTTAACGTTAGAGTAAGCGGCCGTGTAAAGTTGTTACTTGCGTGTTTGATGAGCCATATTTGAGGTCGACGGATGATCGGTAACGATTTGCCCAACGCGGACTGCTGACTTCACCACTTCCTGTGGATTATTTTTTGTGTGTGTTTGACTAATGTAAATTTCGTCGACTAAGCTTTCTCGTCAACTATTAGGGGGCAGTCCTGATTATGTATAAATAAGAGTGACTATAAAGAACTGGGCTGTTTTAGTGTCGCTACAGCACAACTGAAAACAATTTGTAGTTTTACTTGAAGTAAATTTGATCAATACTGAGTGAATGACTAATGTTGTATTCCTCATAGGAAAGCTCACTCTAAACTACAATGAGGTTTAATTTCTCAAACTTAGTTCTTAAAACCCTGAATAGTTTTCCCCATTATTGATTAGTCATCATTATTTTATATAATCAATGAACTCCTCAATTCTAGACCCTTTTCAAAAGCTTGCAACTTAAAAAGTAAACCATTGAATGTTTAACTTTAGTTGTCAAAATAAATAAACCGCAGCCGTTCTACACCTAAAGTGAACTCCGCACACAGTTCAAAATGCCTTTGCTTCCTCGTGCAAGAATGTAAATATGGCAAAGGGCAGAATCCGGCGTCACAAATCAGGGGGTAAAGTTAGTTATATTATGCATTTATTCCAATTGGTTTTGTAATTTACCAAATAACGAAATTGGTGCCTGTTTGCTGGTACAAATGCACAGCACACTCATTTGTTTAACGTTACATTACTGATCAAGTTATGCCTTATTCTATAAAGCACTAGGCTATCTGTTTGCGACTCATGTTCTTAAATGTCATGGATATAATGAACGAAAGCACAGTTTTGATGCTGCTCTAATATAATGGTAGATTTGTGTCTTTATTATTCAATCAAAAAAAATATTTTCAATTAAAAAAACCTTCACTTCAATGAAAAAAAAACTTTTCAATCAAAGAAAAAAAGTATTTGAATCCAAAAAAGATGTCATTGGTGTAGACACTTGTCAATCAAACATGTCTGACCAACAGAGAAGCACCCGCCCACTGCGGAACGTTTGTGTCAAAATGATTCAATCAAAAAAAATTGGAACTTCAAAACTTTTTGCACTTCAAAAAAAAAAAAAAGGATTCAATCAAAACAATTTGAACTTCTATTTTTTTCACTTCAAAT